ATCGCGACATCGCCCACTTTTGTTGTTATTGCTGCTGCTACTGCCCTGCATGTTCAGCCTGATGGAGATGTCTTTCTTTATAACAAATGGGCCTCATTATTCAAGATTAGACGCTTAAAAATATAGGCAGCCGTAGAATCCAGGAGCAGCAGAATCTTAGGCTGAGTTCGCATAGCGAAGACAGAAGTGGTCTTGTATTACCTTGTGTTTCAAAATTATAATGAAACACTTGTACAGATCATTGTCAAATATTTAATAGGCTAGATCCCTTCCGTTCTCGGTTGTTCTCGTTATAGAAATGCTGTGATAGCATAACTCCTTCGATTACAGAAAGCCAACCGACATCGGAAGATACTGAAATTTTTATCTACAGACTCAATAGTAGTATTTGACGAGTCAGAGAGGCTGTGAGCAATTTTGTGGTCGAAAAAAAAAAAAAAAAAGTCAATGATGCTGCCCGGAATGTCGCTTTGGGCGAGTTCGTTTTTGCAAAAAAGAAAAGCTTGTGGTGGCCAGTCAAACCAAAGACAAAGCCCCTGCTTTCCACAAAAAAAGACATATAAACAAAAGAGTTTCTAAAAACAGCAAAGTGGCAGGAGGTGAAACGGGCACTTCCCTCAAACCACAACACCACTTTCCTCATCCATCAAACTCTAGCGCTTTCCTCCTTCTCCATTCAAGACACAGCAGGGCTTTGAACCCCCCTCCAAGACGAAATCTTGCCGATATCTATGGCTGGGGGGTCAAAGAATTATTCAGTGCTCCTGCTCCTTTGTATGGTGGAGGCTCTGGCCACACTGATCTCTCTCACTGTTCGCCTCGTCCGTGTGAGTGAGGGACATTTGGGGGGACTTATCCTCACCTGTTGATGTCACTGGGCTCCTCCTTTATCCACCATGCATTTCTCCTTCATGTGAATTCCGCTATAGCTGCGAGGGACCTTTCCCGACTGGCATGTCAAAGCTCATCATTGCCAGCTGCGACGTGCTCTCGGTCTCCCCTTTATCGTGAACGTCTGCGTGCGGGAGGCTTTTCTCCCGCGTACTGGGAGCAGACGTTGTACTCTTGTTAGGGGGTTCCGCCGAAGGCAATAAAGTGTTTGTGTATTGCTGTTAGTCGAACACTGTCTGTTTTGCCGTGCTACACTAAACGCTTTGTTAGTTGAGTGCGCGCAGAGCGGTGCACTACACGTAGACGCGGCCCTGTGGCTTGCTAAGCCTGAACCCACGGTGGTCCTCCGCTACGGTGAGTAGCGAGGTCACCACGCACTGCATCTTAGAACCTCCTACTGTAGAGACTTGTCAAAAGACTAAAGCTGGAAACATCAGGTTAGTTCTTGTGCACTTGGTTTTCTGAACTCAAGTGAATAATCTCTGGTAAGGAACACCGCTTTCTAAATTGTCAAAATGGTTGATTGGGCGAGTTGGTGATACATGACTAATTATGAAATGGAAGCGCACAACGTAGAAGCAGACGGAAAGACAGGGACAAGCGCTAACTACCAACTGAAAGTTTATTCGGAAAAAATATGAAATATATACTAAAAGATGATACAGTGTCAAGGCACATACGATAACACCAAAGCACAGACCAAAAATGGCAACACCGATAGAATATCTTAGTGCGTCAGCCCTACCTTACCATCGCTTACTGTGCTTTACATTGATTAGTTAACTTCTACGGCATCTGCTAATGTTTAAAAACGCTAGCTCCTTATCGGACAAAGCGATTGATGGTTTGCTGACGCAAGCCCCGTGTTCCGCTATGTGTGCTGCTTCAATTATAAGCCTTGTGCGCTCATCTTTGTGCTTTTGGAGAACTACTGTCTTATCAAATTGTACTTCACAGCCACATCTAGTGACATGCTGGGCAAGAAAACCATCATTGCCGCTACGAACATTGCACGCATGCTCACGCAACCTGTCGTTGAGGCATCTTCCAGTCTGCCCAATATAACAGGCACCGCACGAAAGTATGATCATGTAAACTACGTGACTAATGCAGTTGACAAAACGGTTCCTGTGCTTTGTTTTACACCGCTGTTCCCTGTGTCTAGCGCCACATGTCAGTCTAGCCAGCTGAGAAAGCTTGTGTGGTGCAGAGGAAACTACACGCACTCCCATGCGCTGCCCCACCTTTTTCAGGCGGTGGGTAACCTGATGCATGTAAGGGACAACAGCTACTCTTTCTCTTTCTTTTTCGTGGGTCCTGTTGTCACGTCCTACTGCACCATGTCCCTGGCCATCTTTAGCTCTCCGTTTTCTACGGATACTTTCGGCCACGGACACCAAGACCGCCTCAGGATACCCAGCTGACTTAAGCCTAGCCACCTGATTGTGGAAGCTGGCCTCCATTGAATGCATACAGGACCGGTCAAGTGCATTAGTGAAACACGTACTCACTATGCCTCTTCTTACAAGTTTGCTATGAGCCGACGTGTACGGCAGAAGCGGTTTCCCCGCGCGTGGCTGGAATTCCCAGCAGGTATGTTCAGCCCTAAACGTGAGCCTGAGATCAAGAAACCTGATTGACGAGTTTTCCGGCATTTCATGGGTCAATACAAGTGGACCAAGGTATTTCTTAAAGAGAGACAACACATTATTGGCATGAGACACAAAACCTCGAGGATCACACTTCACTATGACTAAAAAATCATCAACAAATCGAAACACTTTCTTCGCTGCAGTGCTCACTAATTCTTGATTAACGGCCCTGTCCATTTTCGCCAACAACAAATCACTCAAAATTGGGGCCAGACACGACCCAATCGACACGCCTTGTTTCTGAAGATACACGTTGTCATTCCACTCTACATATGTGGAGTTGAGATACATGCCCAATAGGTCTAAAAAACCACGCGCACTCATTCCTGTGCTGTTCTGAAATGACACTCCACCGAATTGGTCAATGCATTCTTCAATACAAGTGAGCAACGCATCATGAGGTAAAGAATAGTAAAGATCTTTAACATCTATTGAGAATGCCATGAGACCTGTGTTAAACTCTTGTCGGAAAAATTCGATAACTTCATCCGACTTCTTAATTAAAAATGGGTCATTAATGGTGAAAAGCTTCATCTTATCTTGCAAAAACACGCCTACATTCTTTTGCCAGGAACCACACTCAGATACTATAACTCTAAAAGGTACATCAGGCTTATGTGTCTTAGCTGAAAAGAATAAGTTCAACGAAAGTTTATCGCACCTATCGAACTTTTTGACTAAGCCTTCTAAATTGAGTTCTCGGCACAGGTCCTTTGCTCTTGCCTTCACTTTTCGCAAATCGATGCCGGTGAACGTATCGAACACGGTACTATTGGCGGACTGCGCTTTTTCAAAATACTGCCTTTTTGTAAGCACTGCGAACCCTCCCTCCTTGTCTGAAGGCACCGCACAAAGATCATTGTCAATTAGAAAGTTGATTGTCCGGCTTAAAGGCAGGTGACTGCTGACGGGCTTACCGCGTTGAAGTATGTCCAGTCCTTCCGAGATGCACCGGCCAGAGTCTTCTTGAGGAACCCGACTAGATACACTTCTAACAATGGCTAACAGGTCCGGGGGGTCTCGCTTCTTCACAAAGGCGAATTTTGGGCCTAGGCCTAACGTCCTCTGCACAAAGTCGGGAAGCACCACGTTACCAACCAAATGCACTGTTCTTTCACTCTGTTGTTTTCTTCTGACTTCAGAACGCAGCTTCCGAAGCTCTTGAACCCATAAGGAAGCAGAGCTGTCTTCAATCCTTGCTGCGAATTCTTCAAGCCTTCTTTTCCTCTTGTGCGAACGATGTTCTTGAAGAACTTGTAGCTTGAGCGACTCCCGGTATAATCGAGCCTGCCGATTCCACTCAGAACGCAGGATTTTGCAAACCCTGATTCCGTGACCGGTCGAAGGGCTGAACCCACCAAATAGTGCTTTCACATCTTGTGGTATGTGCCTCTTACGAATGCAGAACGCTAAAGCTCTGGCTCGGCAGGTAGCTAAAGCGATGAGAGTGATTAAAATAGTGGGATGAAGGAACACAGACGAAGGAATGCCCGAAGAACTAGAAACGTAATTTGTCAAAATGGTTGATTGGGCGAGTTGGTGATACATGACTAATTATGAAATGGAAGCGCACAACGTAGAAGCAGACGGAAAGACAGGGACAAGCGCTAACTACCAACTGAAAGTTTATTCGGAAAAAATATGAAATATATACTAAAAGATGATACAGTGTCAAGGCACATACGATAACACCAAAGCACAGACCAAAAATGGCAACACCGATAGAATATCTTAGTGCGTCAGCCCTACCTTACCATCGCTTACTGTGCTTTACATTGATTAGTTAACTTCTACGGCATCTGCTAATGTTTAAAAACGCTAGCTCCTTATCGGACAAAGCGATTGATGGTTTGCTGACGCAAGCCCCGTGTTCCGCTATGTGTGCTGCTTCAATTATAAGCCTTGTGCGCTCATCTTTGTGCTTTTTGGAGAACTACTGTCTTATCAAATTGTACTTCACAGCCACATCTAGTGACATGCTGGGCAAGAAAACCATCATTGCCGCTACGAACATTGCACGCATGCTCCGCTTTCTAAAAGCCCAAGAGTCACCATTAAAGTTAGCGTTTTGCGTGCAACAGGTAGGACCTGTGGGGTTCCAAAAGAGGGTCTGACCAAAAGGTCTGAGATACATGTAGTTTCTCTGAACCCAGTTCAGCTGCTAGTGGCACGCTTCGTATGACTGAACTAAACACTACATTGCTGGATCTTTAATTTTTTTATTATTATATGTATGTAATATATTTTTTTCTTTCAGGTGGCTTTGCACTCGGCACAGACCAGATGTGCCAACATGTAGAAACCGCAAGGAAGCTAGTGAAGGACTCTCGTGATTTGCTTTCTACAGCACTGTCCAATGTTACTCAGTGCACTGCCTAGACAATGCTAGCCATTCATTACCGTTTCAGTGTGAAAACATAGTTGCAACCTTGCAACAAAAGACAAAGAAGCCTTCTTTCAGTGAGAGTCAACTTTTACTGCGCATTTCAAATGTACATATTTAACGACAGCAACATTCAAGAATAAAGACAGAGTTGCTTTGGAACACTTCATGCAAGTTAAAAACTATTCTTTACACACTTCATTTTGTATGTACATATTTGCCTCCATGTACGTGTCAGTTTTGGGCAGGGTATGACCAAGGTGTACGACCTTTACACGATTTGTAGCGTGGTGGCAACGAGGGAAATAGTATAAAGTGTGCGAAATTCCTTGTTACATTAAAACAATGCACCAAGGGAAGGGGGAAAATATAATATTAACTACAACATAAAAATGTCCTCGGCATGATCTGTTTCTATGTACAGCATTGAAAAGTGGTTTATGAAGGCAGTAGCAGTGCTTTCCTCTTCAGCACCTCTCTCGTTAATTAAACAACTTTCCAGATCACATGTTAGTGGCCGGCATGCAGAATATTTTACGGAAAACTATTTGGCTGGCTGCGAGTGTAAAAGTTTCCGCGGAGTGAGCACGTAATGAAGAGGACTATTTCTCAAGTCATGATTGGCGACCAGTTTCAACAGGCATGCGCTGAAAACTGTCCATCTGGTTGCACAATTTAAAACCTTTGTAAAAGCGGATGTTAAAAAAAAAGTGGCATAACACTCTTCCATAATGTAAAAAACAAACTAACAATGTAACATAATGTGCTTGATGACTACTCGAAAGCTGGAAAACTGTGGTGCACTGTTGATGCATGGCATTTTCGATGTAACGGGCAAACTAAAAGCAAGGGGTGACTGCTATTACGTTGTGCATGCAACCTAGAAGGGACTTTGAAAAATTGTGAAACTGGCTGCCTTTGATGCTGGAAATGGAACTGACAAGAAGGGACATGCTTACCTAAAGAAAATGATGGTAAATAAGGCCTATTTGAAAAACATCACAAGTGTTATTAGCCAACTGCAACAAAATTTTAAACTGTGGAAACCAGTTTAAGGTTTATGACAACTAGCAATACAACAGATTGTTCACAAAAACAATAATTTTGGGTGAAGGAGTTGCTTGCCAGAAATTATGCAATGCCCAGATTGTTAGGGATCCCACTGGCTCTACCGGAAACGGGGTATGTGATGAGTGGCGCATCAGAGGCCATAGAGTTTGCCCGGCATCTGGCGACACCATTGCATACCTCAAGGATGATTATAAGTAATTGACAACTGCCGGCTCTGGAGTTGCTAGGCTTGCTTCGATATTGTACACCAATTATAAAATTTTGTTTCAGTTGGCCCATAGAAATGGTTCTGGATGTATCACTGCGAGCGATGCTATGTTTTGCCAGACTTTTTACGGCTGCGTTGCCTTGCGGCAGCCCCACTGCTGCCTCCACTGGGCTGCTGAGGAGCTGTGCTGTGCGCTTGAAGTTGTAGCTGCTTCTGCAGAGCCATTTGCAGCTGCTGATTGTGCACAGTTGTCGGTCCTGCGTGGTCAAGCAACTGGACTGTTGTGCTGTATGTGTTAGCTTTAGCACAGTGCAGAATAGAAGGAAAATGCTGAGCTCAGCCTTTGAAAGTGCTGTGCCCGAATATATGTACAGGGGTGTTCAAAAGTTCCCAGGCCACGCTCCCATAGGAATTATGGCCTTGGAACTTTTGACCCCTTTCTTGTACATTCATTAGTCCTTTCACCACCACAAACATGCGGCTGCACATCAGATGACTTTTAAAGGGGCAGAATGGTTTTTGGGACCAAAAAGTGACAAAAAAATTCATGTTCTAAAATTGACATATTTGGTTTCTGCAAGCATTTTTCTATCTCTCTGCAAATTTTCACATACCAGGAAGTGGTAATTTTTTTTGAAATGTCGTTTTAACTGTCCAGATTCTTGGTGCTGTTAACATGCAGAAGCTGCGAAAAAATGAGGAACCGACTTCGAGGCTTCTTTATAATTTGCCGGTACCTGTGTTACAAAGCTCTGCTACGAATTTGTGAGCACCTTTATGAGGAATGCAAAAAATGCGAATCATGATAGTTGCTTTTCGAAGAAGCTGTGTGTTTTTAGTTTTTTCCATTTTTCTCAAAAAAGTAAATTTACGACTGTACAATTTTGAGGCCTCAATATATCTGCAACTAGGGCAGGTACAACAATTTTTTTTTTTTTTTGCAAAAGAAACCTGTATGTGTGTAGAATGCAAGTATGAGAGCAGAATTTACAGCACAAGCCTTTTTAATTAATTACTCATCAAAATTGTAACACAATTCCAACTGCTTTTGAAAATGGATAGTTTATTTTGCTGTAAAATAACGAAGCAAGGCTTAAAAACAAAAAAAACTTGCATACTTCAATCTACAGTCATTAGTCTATGTTGGCATATCTTAAATATCGCTTTTAATTAAGAACTTCTTTTCTATGGCAGCCTTAAACAATAAGGGGTGAACTAAGTTATCTCAGGAACAAGATGAGTAACAGAAAAACTATTTGAATATTTGAAATTAGCAGAAAAAAAACAGCATAATCCTGTGCAGTTTGATCAAGATCACTGAATAAATAAACAAAAAATGCAAGACCAGTTTGCCCCCCTAAAGGTAAACTGTTAATTGACTGGTTGTTAACTTACATACCTGTCAACCTCGAAAATAAGGCAATTTGTTAAGAAGTGAAGGAAAGAAGCATGGTGGGGGGGAATAAAAGGCATGGGTATTTTTTTATCAGGGCTAGCAACATCACAGACAGCTAGTATGAGTGATCTCAATTCTTAGTTCTCTGATGTCATTGATACAGGTGAAACTTGTAATTATATGAGGTACACACACATGTGTAATTTATAAACATAGTATTAATGTGCTGCGTGACTGTTCCCGCTTTTGCACACAGCCATTCCCAGTCTTGTATGCTTATTAGACGGTTACAGTTTGGCATCAGCGTGATAGCGGGGGTTAAGGGAATAGCATTGCTGTGCCGCAAACATTCGTTGGGAACAGCTCCTTATAGTTTAGTGGGATAGCGTTTACGTGCTCCACTTGGGATGGTGACATCACCTAGCGGAGGGTGAATAAGTTAAAGAACAGTAAAAACGCAAATGCTTGCCTGTGTCACTGCGTGAAGCAATGTTACAAGTTTTTTTTTTAGTAATAATAACGATAAACAAATATGAACACGCACCAAACGCCAAAATATTTACATTGCCGATTTGTTGGCAAGCAAAGCCATTTTAAACAGTTGTTTGCTGCGAACAAAGTGAATCTTTCATCAACTACACCAAAATCACTTCGAAGCGGGCATCCGAAACTACCTCCATGTTTTATGTACACTATGTAAACCACGCTAACACGGTATTGTTAAATCTGAAAAATAGCGTGCGAACGGTGAGCGGTACGGGTCACGTACATTACTGCGCATGTGTACTTCTATCGCACTATCCCGGTAAACTATAACTGCCTATTCACATGACAGAACAGTACTGTGGCAAAAGTGCATTCCGCACTCGCACAAACCACATCCACGCATTAGAGCCATTGACACCGGGGCTGCTGTAGCAGCTCCTTATCGCATTCATTGAGGCATGCCTTCAGTGTACAGACAGGCTGAAATCGTCTTTCTTAGACTGCATTCTGACTGCAGCAAGTACAGAATATTAAATGTTCAGCGCTGCATTTTTGAAAGCCCAACACTCCATTCATGAAGCACTCTTTTTTTTTTCCCCCCAATGGCAAATGACCTCATGCTTACCTGCAGCGCTGTTCACAACATTTGGTGCAGCCGGAGGCATCTGCCGAGGCAGTGTCCCAATTAGTGGCAGTGTCTGCTGGCCCCCAGGAACCTGCAAGTAAAGCAATAGGATGACAATGTGTTAGTGCTTCATTTGGCATGCAGTTGCTTTGTCTGTCAGAGCATGGCACATCAGTCTGTCGCTTTTGCCGTTCAGGCAAGTCCAATTGGCGTGACAGCCATCGAAGTACTTGACATGGTGCAACCAATATATTGCCATGATATACCGTTGCAGCAACCTGTAGCTAACAGCACAAAAGGACGTCGGGCTGGTCCGATCACCGGCAATACGACATCGTCTTTTTCGTAAGCTCGTTTTCGTCTTTTTTTTTTCAACAGCGGCATTACCACCTTTTTATAGAGCATCGTCCTAATTTCACATCATTATTACAAGAAAAAAATTAAAAAAAAAAAAAACGCTCACAGTTACCAGTACACAAGAGGTGCTCACAAACCTACAAAAGTGTACACAAGGGAGTTTGACAAGCCCTGCTGCGATGGTCTAGAGGCTAAGGTACTCGGCCGCTGACCTGCAGGTCGCGGGACTGAATCCCAGCTGCATTTCGGATGAAGGCAGAAATGCTGTAGGCCTGTGTGCTCATGCATGCATGCATGCATGCATCCATCCTCAGATTTGGGTGCACGTTAAAGACCCCAAGTGGTCGAAATTTCCTGAGCCCTCCACTATGGCACCTCTCATAATCATATGGTGGTTTTGGGACGTTAAATCCCATAAATAAATCAATCAAGGGAGTTTGACAAATACCGAGCGTTGATAAAATGGTTTCATTGTTGATACATGGGCGACGTCTGCCTGCTGTGAATAACTGAGTTGACCAGCCGAGTCCTCGTAAAGAACTTCGTAGTGTACTTCGCTGAGATGACGAACTCCATAGGGACCCAAATAGCAGTGTAACAACTTTTCCGACCGGCTCCGTTGTCGGATGGCAGTCTGCAAACATACTCGTTCTCAGGGTTCGTAAGAAACATCGTGATGACGAGCATCGTACCGCCGCGAGTCGATGCGTTGTTGCTTATTGATTCGTTCGAGTGCAAGCTTGCGAGCTGCGTGCACGAGTCGGATAAATTTGTTCATGTTGACACTAATGTGGTGCCTGTCTGATAGGAGCATTGTAGTGGCCTCCCTGCTGTGAAGCAACCGGAAAGGTGCGAACCCAGTAATCTTTTGCACAGCAGTGTTGAAAGCTAATGTGATGTAGGGTAAATTTCATCCCAGTTTTTGTGGTCTTGGTCAACGTACATGGGTAGCATGTCGGCGATCGTCTTGTTGAGTTTCTCTGTAAGGTCGTTGCTCTGTGGATGCATGACGTGTTGTATCATCCGGGCTGTGAAAGCTGTTCCACTATCAGTTACAACTGCTGGCACTCCAAGTCGAAGGACGGTGTTCTTCATGAAACAGTGGGCAATGTCGACTGGTGGTGCCACGATGTAATGCCTTCGTTTCGCAGTATTGTGTGTGTCGCATAATCAGTAGTGACTACAATCCAGCAATTGCCGATGTGAAACTTGGGAAAAGGTTTGAACAGATTTATGCCAATTTGTTGGAATGCTTGTGCTGGAGGGGCAACGGGCATCAGAAAACCGGGTGGGCGCTGAAATGGTGCTTTACGGCGCTGGCACTCGCGACACATTTCCATGTAATGTTTCACGTGCTGATTGATCTTGGGCCAACAGTAATGTTGGCGAATCCGGGCCAAGGTACAAGGGACCGGACGAACGCTCATTCCGACAGGCAGACAAGACATGCGCTCGTAACACTTTTTGGACGACGAGCAGGTGTTCAGTCACAAAAGGGTTGCGAACACAGAATGGTGATGGGAAGCATGTAAATGCTGGTGGTAGATGCGGACTGTAACCAAGATATTCGATAAATTGTCGAAGTTCGGAATACCATATTTACTCGCATAATGAATCCACTTTTTTTTTTTTTTCAGAAAGGTTGACGCCAATTCGGAAAGGAGGGTTCATTACGTGGGAGAAAAAAGTAACGGGAGTTATAACAGCAAAAGTTTCTCATGATTGTATTGGTCAGCGAAATGCGCGCCGAGTTTCTTCGGTAGCCCAAAGCTCTTTTTTTCTCCCGTAACGAACACGCACGGATCGATGCCGAAGTGTCGTCCAGCCGCTCGGTTCCCATGCTCCACCGCATGCAGCCATGCGCAACAGGTGTCTAACTAATTTTACTATGACAAACCCGACAACAAAAATGCAGTGTTGGATGGTGGCACACAAACGTAGTGGGTGCACAACGTGCCTACAGCGCAGCGGGCACGGTTACGCATTGCATGACCTCCGAGATGGTGGGTACGTGGCGTAAAAACTTTCCGCATGGCCGTCATTTCGAAGGCGATGCGCTCTCTTTCTTGCTTTGTCATGCTCTTTTTCTTGCTTTGTTCTTGTATGTAGGAAAGGCGGCATTATGAGCGCCCACAAGGCAATATTTATTCAGAAAAGCAAATAGAAAGACCAACTAAAAATATTGAGAAAATAATTACCAAGGATACTAAAACAGAGTGGACGTATACACATTTAACTCGATTGTTTGAGTTAGAGCTTGCTAAGGTATGAGTCAAATCAACCGAGGATAGCAGACACAAACCCAAGAGCTGGTGGGAAGAGGAAGTTGAGAGAGCCATAGTAAGACGTCGGGTAGCCTCTAGGCAACACAGGTATGCTAAACAGAGGCGTCAACCGGAAGATGATGTCAAAAGAAAATGGGATAACTTTTTGAGCTGCAGAAGGGAAGCGTCCGATTTGTTCAGTGCAAAGATTAAAAAAGAGGAGTCCCAACGGATGGCGGAAGTAAACAAAAAGGATAGAAAGGCAGCTGCAAAGTTTCGAAGCCATCTCAATTCTCTGAGTAATAAAACAAGCATGAAACAGAGGTTTACAACTACGGTTCAAGGGGTCAAACTAGAAGGGGATGAGGCAATGGAATATATAAAAACAATGATGACAGAAAAATTTAAGCACCAAAAAAGCGCTGCATGCACCGCACCAGGTGAGGATGGACCAATTAGCTCAGTGGCTTTACTAAGACAACGAGAGCGGGAAAGGGCAGAGAAAAGAGTTCCTAATAGCACATCAATAGGCCCTAATGGCATCCTAATCATGCTAATAAAGAAACTAGGACCAAACTCTAAACAAACATTAAGAGAGGCAGCGAGCAAAGCAATAATGAATGGTGAAGCTCCCAATGGGTGGAAACTAAGCAGGATGAGCATGATCTATAAAGGAAAGGGGGACAAAGCCAATATAACAGTGACATCAGTAGTTTACAGGCTGGTGATGCAGATAATAAAGGAAAGACTACAGACATGGGTGGAGAATGAGGGGGTGCTGGGAGAACTACGAACTGGGTTCTGTAAACGAAGGAGGTTGGAGGACAATCTGTTTTCATTGATGCAGTGTATTGAAATAGCGGAAAAAGAACACAGGCCCCTGTGGCTGGCATTTCTAGATATCAAGGGAGTTTATGATAGTGTGATTCAAAAAGACTTGTGGGAATACTGGACGCACCAGATGTGGAAGATGGAATAGCTAATCTTATAAAGGACATCTATAAAAGTAATAAGGTAGTTATCAAATGGGAAGAAAAGGCATCTGAACCTATAGAGATACAACGCAGGCTTCGACAGGGATGTCCCTTGTCATTGTTCTTTATGCTGTATCTCCAGGGACTAGAAGCCAAATTAGAGGGAAGTTGACTCAGATTCAGCCTCTCTTTTGCCAAGCAAGGAAAACACATTGAACAGTTATACCAGCATTGATGTATGCAGATGATATAGTATTAATAGCCGACAACAAGGAAGATCTGCAGGAATTGATAGACATCTGTGGTAATGAGGGAGATAAGTTAAATTTGAAGTTCAGCAGGGAAAAATCGGCAATCGTGATTTTTAATGGTAACGAAGGCAGTGAGCATAAGATACAGGAAGTCATGCTAAAAATAGTGGATAAATAACGGGGCTGAGTATCTGAGGGAGCACGAAAGATACATAATGACTAAGGGCACCATGAATACAGCTATAATAAAACATAGGGCACTGTGGAACTACAATAGGTATGACGTTGTGAGAGGGATTTAGAAAGGTGTCATGGCCTCGGGTTTGTCGTTCGGCGATGTGGTCTTGTGCATAAAATCAGAAATTCAAGCAAGATTGGAAATTAAACAACGTGGCATAGGTAGACTTGCTTTGGGAGCACACGGGAATACCCCAAATCAGGGGGTACAGGGAGACATAGGATGGACTTCGTTTGAGTGCAGGGAAGCTAGCAGCAAGATAGAATTTGAGGAGCGATTGAGAAAAATGGGAGAGGAGCGTTGGGCTAGGAAAGTTTTCAGTTACTTGTACATGAATGTCGATACTAAATGGAGGAAACTAATTCGAAAATTGTCAAGCAAGTATTTAAACAACAGCAGAATACCAAGCCAAAACGAAACAACGGTTAAGAAGAAGGCAAAGGAAACAGAGAGGGACATGTGGAAGATGGGAATGCTTACGAAATCATCGCTGGGGACCTACCGAACTTTTAAGCAGGAAATTGCAAGGGAAAAGATCTCCGATAATTCTCGGGGTAGTTCTCTGCTCTTCGAGGCTAGAACGAGAGTATTGCGGACCAAGACGTACCGAGCAAAATACGAAAGTGCTGACACGGTATGTATTGCGTGTGGAGAGAAGGAAGAAATGGCTGAACATATGATTATGTTCTGTAAAGGGCTCTGCCCTATAGTCGAAAATAATGGCGCCAAATTGTTCAAAGCAGTGGGGTTTAGGGACAGTGAAGGCAAAATAGACTTTAAATGGGTAGAAACAACCAGGAGGAGGCTAAATGATTGGTGGCTACAATGGAGGCACGAGAAAAATTCAATCCTTAAACACACAGTGATAATACTTAACTTTATGGCTAGGTGGCGTGAGCCACCGCCCGATCTAAAGGGCATAGCCGGATACATTCATCTATCGCGACTTTAAAATTTTCATAGATGCCCAACTGTGTTTTGACTTTTTTTGCATCGTTATTTTATGATATAACAGCTTTATTTAGTGTTTTTTTTTTATCGTCAGCAACACTGGCTAACACACCAAAAAATATGAACAGATACATCAAAAATATTTTTTTTTCTTTCAAGGACCTCTGCGCTAGAGGTTCTTGAAAAAAAAAATTCATCTGAGCTAGAACTGAGTGCAATGCCCATTTTAATATTTAGCAAAGCTTTTCCTTATTTTAACCTTATGTTGGCATTACCTTTTCCAGCTACTGCATTTTTTTATTTTCACAGTCCAGGAAAAAAATGGTTTAGAGGGGGGGGGGTTACTTTATTTAGTGTGTGACGCAAATGAAATGGTGTGCCAAATGAAATATGGATAAAACCTAGTATTTAAGAGGCATGTGTGATGAGTTATGTATAAATAGCTTGTGTAAATGGTGATTTTAAGTATGAAGCAAATGGTGATTGTGGTGGAATAATTTTGAATCGAATTCAAATAGTTTATATGACATGTCATAAAGGCAAAACGGCATATTTGTCATGATTTTATTAACCAGCACAATATATATATATATATGTTTATTTAATTGAAACAAGGCCCGTGCAAATGCCATTTTTTTGTTTCAAAGTGGAAACAACTTTGAAAAGTAGTAGCAGGATTTGACTTTTGGTAGAATGCAAATGATAGTGTTTAAACTATGTTACGGTTTGGTATTTACTATACTTGGAGCATATAAGCCTGTATGAGAAGCTTTTAAACACAAAAAATGATGAATGAATGTTAAAAAATGTTGTATAGTTTAAGTTCGAATCGAAGCGAATTCGAATACTGTGATATTTGTTCGAATATTTGCATAAGCGTAATAAATGGGCAACGTAAGACCTCTTAATCGCCTTTTCAATGGGTGACAACTGCACACACAACCATCACTGTGCTTTGGGTGTCAGCTGTTGTTCTTGGCACTAGTTCACTTTTTTTAGCACCACCTAGTTGATGGTACAATGTGCCAATGTATTGTGGGTGGAATTTTCAAGTTTTATACCACCAGTTCAACTGCATCATTTTAAAATCGCTCTTTACGGTAATACAAAAGAAGAGCCCTTTTACCTGAAGCAGAGAGACAGGTGCAGGTGCGCTGCGAACGCCCTGAGGAGGTGCAGCCTTCAGGGTGGGTGCCACCAATTGAGCCGTCAGTGTTTGTGCGCCGAGGGTGGCCACTGTCAGCGGCACGGAGAGCACACCTGACGCGGGGCTCAGCACCGTTGACACTGGGTTCACCATTCCTCCTGCACAGCACACGGAGTACCTCGGTGAATACAGTGGATTCTCGGTAAATGGAAATGTCCCGAGTGGAATCCCTGCTTAAATGGAACGCCTGCCTCTAATATGATCAGTTGCTTGCTTTAATTCTGAACCCTCGGTTGTGGAACTCTTCTCAAGTGAAACATATTTTCTTTCCTGTCCCTTCAACTTCCATCTAACGAGACTGCTGTATTGTGTAGAATGTCAACTCCCTATGTGTTCGACAGAAACGCAATAGCTAAGGCTAAGAACTTGCTGAGGGAAAGGCCACCCTGCACACTTTGTAAGTGCTGTAAGAAACCGGGAAGGACAGATTAATACGAGAGGAAAACGCTAAGAAGGACACAATTGTACGGCTGCACATCTATTACCGTAATTACTCGAATCTAACGCGCACCTTTTTTCCGGTTAAGCGAGTTTATAAATTGCATGCGCGTTAGAATCGAGTACAAACAAAAAAATTACGGTCAATCTATTGCCATTGGCAAATCCAAAATGGCCGCCCCCTACGTGCGTCGGCATGGCGCGTCGGCCATTTCTGCCTATGTGTTTCCCATGTGCGGCACTTCGTACGTGTGCTGAGGAGTTCGTCATCTAGTAGTGCATTAGCATCGACGGCGTGGAAGGGCCGACTCCAAAAACTCGATAGCACCACGATGCCGCCTTTAAAAGAAAAGTTATGGCGTGTGCAGAAACGGACGGAAATCGGGCCGCATCGGGGTCGTTCGGAGTTCCCGAAACGTGCGTGCGGGACCGGCGGAAACAAAAGCAGAAGATTCTCGACAGCAAAGCTTCACGCAAAGGCTTCAGTAGACCACAGCAGGGTCGGTTTCCGCAAATTAAAGAGCTGCTCGGCAAGTATGTGCTTGAGCAGCGAGCAGCACAGCGGCCCGTGACGACAGAACTGCTCCAAGTGCGGGCTATGCAATTAGTCTTGGAAAAAGGTCTAATGCAGAGCCAGTTTAAAGCGAGCAGGTACTGGCTAACTAACTTTATTTAGAGGAAAGGCTTTTCCCTCCGAAGGGGAACATGCATATGCGAAAAGTTTTGCGGAGGAGTACGATGAAAAGCTTCACAGTTTTCAGAGGTTCGTCCTAAACTTGCGGCGCAACAACGGCTACCTGCTTGGGCAAATCGGGAATGCCCATCAGACGCCTCTTTACTTCGACATGCCTGGCACCACAACCGTCGAGAAGAAGGGCGCGAAGCAAGTTCGCGTGCTGACATCGGTCCACGGTAAAACTACCGTGACGGAAAGCTCTGTTACACGTCAGATGGGCACAAGCTTCGCCCGTACCTCATATTTAAATAGAATACGCTCCCGAAAGGAGTAGTTTTTTCGAGTGGTGTGATCGTGCGGGCCGGCGAGAAAAGTAGGTGCGCGTTGCAATTGATGTCTTACGTTTTTTTTTTTTCGCGGTGGAAATCGGGTGCGCGTTACAATCGAGGGTGCGGTAGAATCGAGTAAATACGGTATGTACCGGCAACAACCGCATGGCAGCAACTCTCCTTTTTCTATAACAAATATATTTACTCAGCCACTTTGCAATACACCTATATAATTTGCAATGTGTTGACTTGATATCGTGGTGTGTATAAAGTTTCTCATTGACAGACATTCCCTTCGACGTGTGAGACAAAGATTCCTTGTAAAAGCATGATAAACGCTGCCATTTCACCGCTACGCATAGTGTTTGAGTGTTGCAATGTTAGTGTGCTCTGGCTATTTTGTAAATGACTGCAAAACAATGACAAAACATGTTTTTTTTTTATACAGAGGTATTTTGTTGTCTAGGCTGCAGAAGTGCCCATGAGCTACCTTGACTGCATATATAAGCACAGGATTGAACTTTTCCAAGAGTTACAATTTAACTGGTTGCACCTAAGCCAACAGAGGTTAACTTGAGGAACATGAAATTTAGATGCTTTATTTTGTAAACGCGCCGCCTCCCATGAACTGTAGTTTTTTGCTACCCATCTAGAAGGATTAGGCCAAAAGTATGGTTCAGACATTGTGGCTTGACAGGAGTTCTTGATTCATTATGGTTCAGCTAGTGAATAATGGACATAAAGTGGCATAGCCAGTAAAGAGAAAAGCGTTTCAAAATACAAGAGACAAAGTTGCAACATCCCAACAATATCAATGTGCGCACGCCTAGATGAAAACGTCACTAACCAGAGGACACAATGACAGCTGATGGTGCCATGGATGCCACATTTGTTGTCTGTGCTACGCTCGCAGCAGACTGAATATTCTGTACAGATGTGTCCTGGATCTGCAGAGAGAGCAAGTGCGACAATGTGAAACAAGGAAAATGCACCAAGCTGTGACATGTAACAGACATCCCTCTGACAACGCAGCATAACGAAAAATGGCCGATTTCAGTGATCCACGTATCTCTTACTGTGACAGCATCCCAGGAGCTAAATTTTCAATTCTTATGCAGTGCTGTAAGTTTCCCTCATTTACATTAGCCACTACGGATGCATAATGCGAGGTAGTTTTTCATTTTTTGCAGGCTTAATGTTATTTCTGAAACACGCAAACAAGCAGATGTGAAGCAGGGAAATAGTAATACATACAAAGCACACCGTAAACCTGAGACACACACCTGACCATGCAGGCTTCCAGTTGCTCCAACAAGCATGCTAGACTGCGTCACAGGAACCATGGTCAGTGAAATAGGCACGGGAATCGCAGAGGATAAATTGACGCCCGTCAGAGACATCTGCACATACGATGAGCATTAGAAAGAACAATGGTTATCAGCTTGCTCCCAGCTTAAAGGGGTGTTAAAGTTAGCATAACAATGTAGAATAACTGACAATGTGATGAGTTATACATGTGCAATTAGTATAAACTAATCAATTATACCCTGAAAACCCTAAAGTCATTAGGTTCACCACCGTGGAATTAATAGTAAAGGAAGAAATCAATGTGAAATGTTTTACTTTTAAATCTCTCACTCACATCTCCATTCAGTGACGTAATGAATTTCAGAGCTTTTGTTTTTTAATATATATATTTTAGCCATGTTGCCTAAGCAAAATTTTTGAAACTTGGTATGTTAAGGCCTCTGGCTCCCTCAGTAGACAATAGGAAACTTAAACATAGTGCGGCCACTTGCATTTTATTTTTGGTAAAGCTACGCGAATAGCATAATTTTGTGTAGGAAGTGAATATCAATGTTGAAGCGTGAGTGCGAATAGAATATTTCTCAAATACTTTTAGAATATTATTTTAATAGTTTGAAGTTAAATTGCAGGGGGAAAAATGTTGGAGGATTCTCAGGCATATTTTTATAAGATAGCAACTTGAAAGTGTTTACGAGTGTTGAAGATTGGGCGAGTTGGTTCATCGTACTTGGACTGGTATAGCGCATTACGGGGAAGAAGAAACGGCCGAGCTGACCGACACAAGAGGACATAGCGCTCTGTCCTCTTGTGTCGGTCAGCTCGGCCGTTTCTTCTTCCCCGTAATGCGCTATACCAGTCCAAGTATGAAAGTGTTTATTTTCACTAGGTTGATGAAGCGGTGGCGGGTTGGTATTTAATAGTTGTCTGGTCAAGAATGAGGCAATGCAGAGGCCAAATTGTGTTTGTGTACATGACTTGGTGCAACCAAAGTGTTGCCGACAACACTTTACACGTGAAAGGCAAAGATGCTATTTCCTCAGCCTCTCTTTCAATTTCTGTGGAAGCCCAAACTGATGTGGCAGGCAAGGTTGCACTCTCTTGGAGTTAGAAGTTCCAAATCTGCCTCGTAGAAGTCAACATACAACAAAATTTGAAATTTTGGATGCTGAAAATCTACGTCCAATTTCTCGGACTTCCTGCCTAAATTTCGGGTCTAAAACAGCATTCACCGATTTCCCACCTGTGCTACATCTATCACCTCAACGTTGGAACCCGCGTTTTCTTGAGTCAATACATTTGCGACTGTAGCGAACTTGAAAGGCAGCTGTGCCGCAATACGGGAGTGTAATGAGGTGGAGAATTCAAAAATTTTAAGGGGCCACTTTTAGCCTACGTTGCCTGTATCACTTTTACAGCTTTGCCACAATACGATAACGTAACGAGGCGAAGCATACTAAGAATCCGAAGGGGTCATTTATAATCGGAGGTTGACCGTGTGTAAAAAGTTCGCGAGTGTATCGGACCCTGTAAGGCAGCTTTGCTGCCATAAAAAAATGTGATGAGGTGAAGCATATTAAATATCTAAAGAGGTACTTTTAGTCTAAGCTAGCCTGAACTTTCATTGGAAAGTTGGTATGGCAAAATTCCAGTGCGAATCGAATCGAACAGCAAACACTATTAGAAAAATATTGTAAATTTCGAATATTTGCACATCCCTGGTTTTTGGTATTGTGAAAGAGAGAGAGAGAATAAATGTTTATTAGTATTGTCAGTAACTAAAGTGGGTGGGGCCCTTCGTCCAGAGCTTCACTAGCTTAGCGGCTCACCGGGCCTGGTCCAGAGTTGCCAATTGGTTTCCCAAAGCCTGATCCGAGAGTAGCGCCACCCACGACCAGTGTGGTATTGTGAAAGAGTAACTTACAAATAAAAAAAAATATGTAATTTTTTTTAGTGTCCCTTTAATTAACACAGTACTATGTCCCATTAAACATCCATAAAGTATTGTAAATATATTGTCTGAGATCACTCAACAATATTTCTTTTTATGTTCAAATATCAATCTCAAACATGTTCAGTGAAGCCTAGAAAGATGGTTTGCCATTAGCCAGCTGACTGCTACATTGAAAAGTGCTGGCGTTTTCCGTATGTCATAGGGTGCGTCATTTCTGATAGCACAGATTGCACGAACCGAAAAAAGTAAATGTAATGAAAAGTATGCATGGGGCAATGTCAGATATACAATATTATGCAGTTTTTTCAGTGCATAGCATGGAAGAAATGCATTGCAATGGTACCATTTTACTGAAGTGCTCAGCTGGACGCTGTGTCAGGTTACAGTCAAAGCATCACCGAGAGAAGTCAGTTGAGAATGCGACATGCATGCGCAAGCGCCCTACCTAATCTGATGCGTCGGGACTACACAACAATGTCTGGCATTGCTCATTGCTGGCTGCTCACTTAACAGTGCCACAGCAATTTAATGAAGGAGTTGCTGATAATTACTTTCTTGCCGTCACAATAAGAAGGGTGCAATGGCTTACTGCTAACACTCATTTTAGAATATAAATATTTAGGTCTAATGACACAGCAATGACGATCATGCAACCACTTATAATGTAACCGCTTATAGTGCAGGGCCGCTTACAATGCGGTCTTTTTCTACTACTGTTTACCCTTCCATGGAACCCCATGTATACGCATAGCCAGTACTCAAAGATGAAAGATCGGTTATAATGTGGTTGCCGGAAATTGTTTGTGACAAACGTGGTAGCGAATGCGCTTCTGAAAGGAGGTGCGCTGGGTGCGCCGCTGGGGAGCGAACGACGAGTTCATTTCAGAGAAGAAGGTAACACTGAGTGAACAAACGAAGGGCGGAGAGAAGAAAAAGAAACTGGAAAAAGACCGCGGGACACTGCGCGGGTTCGCCGAATAAGGGAGGAGGGCGGTTGCCTCTGTGACCGATAAGCCTTTGCACCGGCGCCGACGTGGCAATAGCATATTACGTCGCTAGAGTGGCTTCGGCCGCGCGCCACTCAACATGGCACGTGCGATCCCGTCCTTATCAACTGCATGTGCTAAACAGTTTCCTGTCGGAAAAGACAACATCGTTATCGAGCTTGCAACAAATATCGCGTTTGTTCCTCGTCCGTTACCGTATTTACTCGATTCTACCGCGCCCTCGATTGTAACGCGCACCCGACTTCCACCACGAAAAAAAAAAAAAAAAAACGTAAGACATCGATTGCAACGCGCACCCATTTTTCTCGCTGGCCCGCACGATCACACCACTCGAAAAAACGACTCCTTTCGGGAGCGTCTTGCGTTTATATATGAGGTACGGGCGAAGCTTGTGCCCATCTGACGTGTAACAGAGCATTGCCGTCACTGTTGTTTTACCGTGGACCGATGTCAGCACGCGAACTTGCTTCGCCCCCTTCTTCTCGACGGTTGTGGCGCCAGGCATGTCGAAGTAAAGAGGCGTCTGATTGGCATTCCCGATTTGCCCAAGCAGGTAGCCGTTGTTGCGCCGCAAGTTTAGAACGAACCTCTGAAAACTGTGAAGCTTTTCATCGTACTCCTCCGCAAAAGTTTTCGCATATGCATGTTCCCCTTCGGAAGGGAAAGCCTTTCCTCTTCATAAAGTTAGTTAGCCAGCACCTGCTCGCTTTAAACTGGCTCCGCATTAGACTTTTTTCTAAGACTAATTGCATAGCCCGCACTTGGAGCAGTTCTGTCGTCATGGGCCGCTGTGCCGCTCGCTCCTCAAGCACATACTCGCGGAGCAGCTCTTCAATTTGCGGAAACCGACCCTGCTGTGGTTCACTGAAGCCTTTGCGTGAAGCTTTGCTGTCGACAATCTTCTGCTTTTGTTTCCGCCGGTCCCGCACGCACGTTTCGAGAAGGACCGCGATGCGGCCCGATTTCCGTCCGTTTCTGCACACGCGATGACTTTTCTTTTAAAAGCGGCATCGTGGTGCACTCGAGTTTTTGGAGTCGGCCCTTCCACGTCGTCGATGCTAATGCACTACTAGATGACGAACTCCTCAGCACACGTACGAAGTGTCGCACATGGTAAACACATAGGCAGAAATAGCCGACGCACCATGCCACGGAGGAAGCCTCCGTGCACCATGCCGACGCACGTAGGGGGCGGCCATCTTGGATTTGCGATGGCAATAGATTGACCGTAATTTTTTTGTTCGTACTCGATTCTAACGCGCATGCGATTTATGAACTCGCTTAACCGGAAAAAAGGTGCGCGTTAGATTCGAGTAATTACGGTAATTGAAAACTTTTTACAGTTTTATGATGTGAGCTTCCACTTTTGCTGCCAGTAGTGCGCTGTGGTACGTAAACTTGGCGAATTGTCATCGTTGCTAATTTCCAGGCTGCGAACGTGAACTTAGCATCACGCATGCTGTTCTTGGTTCATTGCTAGGCGTTCTTTTTGACGCTGAATCTTTATGTTTTGGACAAACTTTCCGCGAAAACACACCAAACAGCAAACTAGGCCTAATCGGCATTGGTTACGCTTCAATTGGTAGCGGTCGCGTGAATCTAAGTTGGGGTTTGGTACCGAATCAACGAAACTCTTTGCAGTGGCTGCACTTGACGGGAAGGGATATATATCGTTAACGAAAACGAGGGTGGCACGTGTAGCGCTCAAATAATGGTTCGCGATTCAATTGCGATGTCTTAAATCGGGTGCGTGCTCGTGAAATGGAATGGTTGGCGTCTTTAAACGCGTCAAATTCTAGATGTGATTCTTTATAGTTTCTGTGTAATGCGCATAATCAAGGCGGTCTTGTAGATGGCGAATTTCCGCGATAGTGCTTTCATTTGTTAGACCCCCCCCTCCTTTCGTGTTGATTTCATTGGCAACGCATGTCTTCGGACGTTAAATTCTTTTGGCATTCAGAAATTTAAATGTTAGCAAGCATGAATCGCATGTTTTAATTCTCGGACACGCGAAGCTGCATGCTCAACACGTTTTGCACAAGTGCGGCCCTTGAAAAAGGTTGTTTCGGTTATAGTAGTGTGGCACCGCTTATAGTGCGGATATTCGCAACTCCCGCGACTTGCATCATAAGCGGTCTATACTGTATACAAAAACAGCTAAGCGGGAGTACTTGAAATGTGCCATACAAATGCCCGTCTCAGGGATCCGTAAAACTCTTCTCATGACTGTTTCACCAACTATTTTTGCATCTATACTGCCCATTTGAGGGAAAGCTATGTCTTATCATCACCAAAAGACAAAATACAACGAGACCAGCTCAGCATGAGTGGTACATCACTTTTCATCAAGTAATGGCAAGGAACGCTACTAAACAAAACACTTCACGAATGGTGCTACGCGAGTGGGTTCCCAACCACCGTGTGTTCCCAATCGTCGTATGCAGTCCTCGACAGACAACAGGAGCAGCCATAAACAAACACAGAGAAATCGAAGTTCCTGCACTCTGAACATTCAAGGTTCGTGAGTCACCATTATCATTCTGGTGGGCAAATGGTTCAAGCAAAGATAAACCTAAAACCCATGCTTACCAAATTATGCAGGCCAACATTCTGCGATAAACTGATGTTAGGAAGACTGACAACCTCCGGCGACTGCGCTAGCAGTGCATTTGATATACTGGATGCCTGGTTTGGTTTGCTGGTAGCGTCATCAGGACACACTGCAAAGAAAAAAACAAATGTGTGTTGGTTGTCAGGTTCACAGCTCTAATTTTTTTACTCGCGGCTAAAGTATTTCTTACGTATGCAAATAATTTGTAGTAAATCTAAATATCATGCTTCCTTGACTTTAAGTGGTTGATAATAATTAAAAAAAAAAACATTCTGTTAAAGCTACAGAAGGAGGGGTGTCGCAAGTACTGTGTGGTTAGACGCTCTACCACGAATTGTAATACCTGTACTTAAGTATGTTTATGGGCATTTGTGGGGGGCGGAGATATATTTCTTTTGAAATGTGGAACTAGGTTATAGCAAAAAAAAAAGTATCGTATTTACTGGCGCAATGAACGCACCCACATAACAAACACCCCCCAACTTCAGTCGTCAAAATTTGGATTTTTATTTTCCCTGCGTAATAAACACGCCCCCTACATTCGTCCGCTGCAGTTTTGCTAGCCGACATCTGGCACCTCCTTGCCCCTTGGATCTCTTCCGTTTTTTATTACTATGCCGCCCTTCCTCGGCTACCTCGGCTCGCTCCCCCCCCCTTCGCCCGCTGTTAGTTTTTCTTTCTATCTGTGCGCGGCACGTACCCAGTCTTTTTCAAATATCTATGTGCCACAGCGGGGTTCACGAAGAATGCGAGTGTAGAGACATTGCAGCTGACAAGCACACAGCGGGCGAAGGTCACGAAACTTCCTGCGGCAAGTCGCTTCCTGCAAATACAAAACTTTAAGGCCCAACCACATGCACGCAATTTTTGAGCGACGATGACAGGATTTGCTGTCGCGAAGGGCCATTCATCGCCATCACGTTGCAAAATCCTGGAAAACCAGAAAGAAATCGCTTGTCGCCCAGAAAATATTGTGACTACGTATTTTCGTAACATGGTCTCTGATTCTGGCTTCAGTTGCAAGTGAGGCGGCCTCCGTATTCTGTCATTAACCTTGTTACGATGTTTTGTTTTGATGCTTCCGTGGTAGCTTGCTACAGTGTCAACAACGGCGGCGCGGTCATCGTGCGAGTCAGCCATGAAGTTGGCAAAGTACGTCGTGCCGTCGTAGCGCACGCTTCTGGGCGCCCCTAGAGATTACAGCAGATACCACTGTTACGGTTAAATGATTTTGATAAAGATAACCGCAAAACGATTTTATGGCGTGGACAGGCAGTGCGGGAACAGCTTTCAAAGGATAGCGCCTTCAACCACCGAAGATGAGTGAAGTGCAACAAAGAAGCTGAGCGACCTAACTTTTTTTTTTTTGCATTGCTGCATTTTTTTGCTCATACCGAAAATGTTTTCATAAGATTTGCCCCGCATAATAAATGCTCAGATTTTTCGAGAAAAAAAAAAGTGCATTCATTATGCAAGTAAATACGGTAATATGAAAGAATGCATCATCAACTCACTCTTATTTCAAATGTCGGATGAATACTCATTAATTAATACTATCACATCATTATAAAGGTTGCTTCTCTCACCTGTGTGACCGTGGTTGGGTTCCAGGATGTTCATGTTCACTGGCTCTTTCCTGTGATAGGACAGAGAAGGCGCACGGATAAGTGCTTGAGGTAGGCGATGCATGTGATGACTTTGGGTGATGCGTGTGCTAGCAAACTGACTTACGAAATAAAGAACTTAATATCCTCACCCTGGTGAAGACAGAATACCTTCAAATAATCAGGGTGGCCTTGAAAATTTATACTTGTGGTTGTGTAGTTTTGTTTATGTTCACTTTGTAACACACACTTGTTTTATGACAATGTCTTGAGTGGTGTAAGTATAGCATTGAATGATAACTAGGAATAAGTTTGTGAGCAGCTAGCATTCTGATGCCTCAGGTTCTCCATATCTTTCAGGCATTTTGGATGCTTGTGTTTATCACATGCCAAGGGTTTTTCTCAAAGCATGAAAAACTACACTTTTGTCTAAGTATTGTATCAGCAGGCTGTAAATTCAGATGTTCATTATTGGCAAAATAATCCGGTAGTACATGCTGGTGAACATAGAGGAAAACCTTGTCAATTGTAAGTCACTGGGGCCACAAAAGATCTTTATATTGAGTGTTTTTTTTCTTTATTGACAGCACAAATAAAAAATCTAGACAAAGAGAACTCTGGATAACTTAAAGATGCCAATTTACATTGTCCAGTGCCACATTTTCCTAAGATGGCCTCTTGGAGCCATCAGGCAATGCCGCATAGTGCCGTTGATGACTAGCATATTAAGCACAGAAGCCTCGTCACAGCTCGCATTAATATAAAAAAAGGAAAATGGTATGCCTTGCGCAACATGCATTCGAACATTGTGCGAACCTGTTCTCGGCAGCTGCTAGCACAGGTGGCGATTGACTGAGCGGTCCCTGTGCCTTCGTGAGTGGCACTACGGCCGACAATTCACACAGTTCGTCCAAGCCACCAGACATGCTTTGGGAGTCAAGGACCACAGGTGGTTTGCCAGGAACGAAGTGGGTGATCTTCACAGCCTTGCGGCCCTCCTCGGTGAAAATTTCTCGGAACTGGTCCAGGTACCTAAGGTTAGAATTTAATACGATCACGACTATTGAAAGCAAAAACATACCAACTGCCAAGCCATCGGGGAGACATGAATGTTCAAATTAAAGAAAAATTATTTATTGATTTACAGGGGGCCAGAAACGGTTTTGACGTTTTTGTACAAACACATTGGGCTGGTAGGCTAAGTCCTAAGAGTCATTCACAGACTGATTCAAGCTCTCTGCATAAACTGTGTCATTTACTATGGTTTAAAGCTGCGAATCACTGCAGATCACTGCAGCTCAGCCGAACGAGTTTTCAACTGCCCATTTGCAGTATGACACCACTGGAAGCACGAAATCACCCAGGCTGCTGATCTGATTGGGTGTGGAATGCATGTAAGTGCAATTGACTGGTAGGGTGGTGGCACCTGTTGGAGCAGACATTAACCACACCGGGATTTTCGTCTTTGTAGCCAGGCACACTGGGTGATGGCATTCGAGATTGTGTGCAACCTGTCGGCGTGCAATCTCGCGTGCAGGTCTAGACTGGGCAAAGCTCGAATCATTGAGGGCGCTCATGAGGGCTCTGCAATCGTCAGTGATGCCAGCATGTCTCATGAGTTGAAGAGGCATGGCAGGGGTGAGAAGGAGGGTGTGATATAATTGTCCATAGTGGTCTAGGTACATGACATGTCGTTAAAATTTGTGGTGTAAAAGTTTTGATGATGCTCTAGCCTAAATGCTGACAAAACTTCAAAAGACTGTTTCAGGGTCCCTATAAACTTACTAAATTTATGCATATGTGATTGTAGATTTCAGTTATGCAATTAGTTTTCTACTATGATGTGTGTTTTCTGAGAGCAAGAATTTGCCTAAACTGAGAGAGTTACAAAGTTTATCAGCATGTCAGAATAAATTGAAGTGAGAACTGTGTAGGATAAAATGAGAATGGATGTTCTAAATTGACCTGAACTAAAGTTAAGGCATGTTGAACACTAGCGAGTGAGTCGATGTCACGCTGGAATTTTGGTCACAAATGTTCCACATATAACTTTTGTTCAAGTGGGTTTAGCACATCTATTATTATCTATTATTATTTTTTAGCACCAGTTCTCATTACAGATTATCCTGATATATTCTGAGACATTCTGTACAGTTAAATCGCTAATTTTGTAAAATTGGAAAAAGTACTTATCAGTTCTTCAAAATCTGAAATAGTAACATCGCAACAACTCAGAGCTACTTCAACATTGTAATTCCTATTAACCCTCGCCTGCACACGTGAAAAGTTCGTAAGGGTAGCCTAGACATGGGAGGCCAGCATGCAAAAAAGGAATAACGAGTGCAGTGACTACATGAACAGGCCGAGCAAGCAAGGAGATGATCGGTTTCATCTGTCACATAAACAAAACAAGAGCAGCCAGAGTAGTGTTTCTGTGGGAGCATTTACAGTAACACCAATCCCACTACTACATTTAGCACCATTCAGTACATAAGAGCTCCTCTGACAGGTCAGTTCGTTGTTCCATGTGAGGGAGCAGTGTACAGCATCGTTATGATAAAACTAGGGATATGACAAAGGGGTCGAAAAAAACCCACCAGTGTCAATATTATGAAGAAATCGCTGTTTTTCCTACTATATTATTTAGGGCAAGAGACAGTTAAATAGGGTTCAGCACCCAACCAACTTGGGTTGGTGCAATGAACTCCAGCTGTTCGTGGCGGGGAATGAAAAATCCATTGTTAGATCTGGAAAATCCTTTGCTACATGACTTCGTAAAGCTGGGATATATTAGACTGAGTACTAACTATACAAGTACGCCCTTATAGTATTAAAGCTTGACTGTATATGGTTTTCATGATTCATATGAGAGTGGGACCTATGTCCAGCTGTTAAATACAACAGCCTATAAAGTCGCAGTACTACTGCCACAAACTTTTCAGATGAGTAAAGCAGTTGTGTTTGACAGTGACTCGTTATTATTTAAATAAATGGCAATACTCTACTAACAGCTGGCAAGTATGGTCCACTATTTTTGCGGCATGATCCAATAACATTGCTGGGTAAGAATTGAAGGCATTTGATTGTTTGCACATACCTGGTAACGTTGGCTTGACTGCCAAGATTGAATCTGCAAGACGAAATATATTAAGAGTTGTCAGAGCAATAGCCCCGCTTGACAATTCACACACGCGCAAGAAAAACATTCATTGTGCCTTACACTAAAACCTTGCAATATCCTCTGAGACCACGAATAGAGCCAGACTGTTACGAATTCTTGACCTCTTGAAAATTAAGAGAAAGTGTACTAGTATAATAAACTAATCTGGCCACCTGTACAATTTTGTGAGTGTTTATGACTAAGATTTTCCCCCAGAAGTTATTACAACTACCAAAGCAAATGTAAGGTAGTGTGATCACAAAATAAGAAAGTAAGATAGTTATGCAATTGCCAAAAATGTATTTGTGAAGGCGCATATACTCTTTCTCGCAAGTTCATTTACACCGCCGTGTGGCCCTGTATGGGTTTTTAGCTTCTCGGCAATACAGAGCAAAGCGGCAGCAAGTGACGTGGCTTCTTTTTGTGTTCAGCTCACTTTTCTTGATTCTAACACTTTCCCTTGGCAGGGAAGTTGATTCATAATATTCGCTTACATACCTGTCAGTTTAAATGTTTGTTTAAATTGGTTTGAAATGCACACAGAAGAAAAATTAAGGCAAGCTAATATTTCTTCCTACTGAAATTATGAGCTATAAGTAACAGGGGATCACCGTAACATACGGACAGACACTCTATTTTATTTCTTTGCTATCATCCCAATTTTGATGCTTGGGAAGGCAAATCACAGCTCCAACCTCTGAAGAAAAGTAAAACAAAAAAAGTTCATCATAATTGTGAAAATTCTCACAGCCTGATTTTCTTTTCTCCCTTTCAGAGCTGCTATCACCACCTGTAAGTCAGTTTCGCCTCATCGCACACGCACGTAGTACACTCAAACCTTGATGTAATGAGCCCAGATATAACAAAGTATTGGTTATAATGAAGTAAATTAAAAATGGTCTTGCAACAGGTATAGCGTTAGAAATAAACCTTTATAACTAATTTTCAAATATAACGCACTTATTTTTGGGTAAGATGCAACTTTGTTACTATGAGGTTCAAAGTAGTAAACAAAGTTAGCTTCCCTGCCAAGCGAAATATGGCGCTGTGGTGTCACCTGACAGGAAGTGAAGTGGCATAGGCACATAAGGAAGAGCTCTTTTTCCTTTTTGGTGTTTGGCACGGCTGTGCACAGTGAACTGTTGTGCGATGTCGGTTGACGACACCACATTAGCGGTATAGTGTGTTTTTTGCCTTTGTGTTAGGTTGGCATTATATTGCGTTACTTGTCATGTTACTGCAGTTCTTTGTTTAGGTTTGGCTGGCAAGCTCATCATTATGTAAAATACATTAATAAACGTACATGTGTTTTTTGTACAATGGCGTGAACTGTGCCTGTTTAATCCAAGAGCGGCTTTGTCGAGACCTCAATCTCTCTCTCTTTTTTGGTGCATTCTCTTTCATATTGGCTACACCTCCTTGGCAAGTGCCCACACGCGTGCGTACGGGGAAGGGTGTCCTGATACTGTCTTTGCCCTGCATTCTGTTCATAAAGACTTCTGTGGGATGGGATTGGGAAGCGTCAGGTAGTGCTGCCTTGAAACAGCCCCCCACCCCTCCCCTCATCATTCTAACTGAGAATTCTGAGCACACCTATGTGAGTGCCCCATCACAGCAGTACGCCATCTGCCACGGGTTCCCCAAAAGTGGCAACACTCACTCGCAGCTGGTGCCCTTGTTATTTCCTTCCCGGTCAACGTAGAGCCGGCCGAAGAACTGTTCATCGGTGGGCCTTTGGAGGATCGTTACACGGGTGAGCTTGCCCGTGTTGGGCTCCGTTTCCAGTACAAACTCCTGCACCACCAGCGGCGTGTTGTCCAGTGTGGGCTTGGGGGGTTCCTTGACACGTGCCAGCTTCTCCACCTGTGTGAGCACATGTGCCCGACCAAAAGTTGGTGTGAATACAATACTGTGATTGTGGCTGGGGAACCATCATCATCAATCTATTCTATGTTCATTTCAAGACAGAGACCTCTCCCAGTGGTTTCATATTTTACGAGTAGATTTCATTTTATCCCTGTGAACTTTCTGATTTACGAAAAAGAGTGTCATCACCCTATCTAACTCGAAGCCATCTTCAGCAGTATTTCGCATCCCTTTATATCCATTGTCTGACCTTCGCATTATGCGGTCCACACAGATTGATTTTTTTCGTTCAATGCCAACTAAAATATCGGCTGTCTGTTTGTGCCCTCATCTATTCTGCTGCTGCTTTCCGATTTCTATTTCATATATTGTTTTCCAATTTGATGCACGCTGTGTGCTCCTCAACTTTCTTTTTCAGTTTCTTTGTTAATCTTCAAGTTTCAGCTTCATATGTGATTATTAACATATTTCATATGTATTGTCACCGAACCTCTTCATCGCAATGTTACTGCTTTTCTACAACTGTAGTACTGGTTATTGCTGCTGTGCTCACTCTCCTCCATGGTAACGCGTCGGCCCCTTCAATGAAAAAAGGTTGATAAGGCCAGGCCCTCCTTGCTCCTAATATGTTAGACTGTTAAGGTGCTACACCTGCGAAAACTGCTGACGCAATGCACTCACAAGAGACACAGTCCTGGCCACGAAAGTCGAGAATTTGAGCCAGGTTTAGTTGTTTGTGGGCGTCTTAGGAGTGATGGCCTACCTCATTCTCCGTACTTCAGCATCTTTGAATGTAAGCTGCTAAAGGCACAAATATCACCAGTAGAAATAGGATGATGTGATAACAATATCACCCACGCACACAGTCTATGTTGATGGTGGTAAACAATAGGCTTTTGAGAAGATTTGAGCATTTTGAATATTCCTTTCAATTTGAAATGAAGGGATAGGTGTTTATAAAACCGCATGCAACCCGCCCCCCTTTAAAGGTGGTTCCAGAGCAGTGTAGGAGTGCTATACCATGAATACACCCATCCTAAAAAAATTCAAACTGCCACGAAGCCCAATTCCAAGGTGTAATGAACATATTACCCTCACATCGATTCATCATTTTTTAATTTAGAAGCTCTATCGGCTTATATGCTATAAGTAGAGTAAGTTTTAAAAAACAAGGTATTTTAGATTATTGCTTGCATTTTACCATTGCTCAAACCCTGTTACCAGTCATAGCTGCTTCCACTTCAATTTTAGCCCAAAAGAATGACATTCGCACATGCCTTGTTTCAATTTTAAATATGCATTGTGTAGGTTACTTGAGTCATGACAAACATGCTCATTTCTCTTTATAATATGTGATATATGCGATTCAAATTCAATACAATTTGCTTCTAATTTGTTTTGAACTGATGGTTTGCTAGTTGCACAAGCCTAGTAGTAAACATGCAGCCATATGTAGTAGTTGACAATCACTGTACCGGCAAGATCAGATTCATTTCAATGAAACACGCGATGTCTGTTCAGGATGTGTCAGTACCTGCGCTGTCCAGAGTGCCACTCAAGGCGTTTGGTATGGCACCATTAACATTTTCACAAGTGTCAATAGAATGTCACAGCAAGTGAAGAAATGTTTATTCGTAGATTCTTAAGCACTAAGTCATTTATCAAATCTCTTTATTAGGCTACCATAGTGTGGGGGCAAGCAAATAAACTGCTTAGATAAGTACAATGTTTGATTCACTGAATGCAAGAAGACAGTGTTTGCAATCATCTTGTTTTTCTACGCCGTCAAAAGTAAATGCACAGGTTCGAAGGTTTCACTATAACGCCATGCGAACTGAAGCACAAAAGAAACAGTCTTGCTAACATTTGGCTGTTTACTGTCAGATCTGTAAATGCGTTCCACTGAAAAAGAACTAAATTTTAGTGTACACACCAGACTGGACTGGACTCATCTGGGGAGTCAAACACACCAGACTACATCAGTGGAAGCTAGACTTATTCTTGAATATATTTAACCATATTTGCTTGACTGTGTGCAGAAAATGATGGCGAGATATTTTGTATACTATGAAATCGTCACTACTGAAAACTATAACAAAGCAAAACAAATGGTACACATTGTTTACCAAAGTGGCTGGGAAGACTACTATGCAACAGCACTACTAGACTTGTAAACTAATAGAACACAATGTTTAGAGCTTTCGGTCTTCAATGCCATCTCAATTACTGGTGCCTCAAGCCAGCATTATACTAGTAGAAATTAATGTAGCACGTAAGTACATTATCATCACAGAGGAGATGCTATAAATAATTAAGAAAAACATTAACATGATAAGGCTTATCTGCATATGAGCATAGAAAGTAATCACCTCAATCTCTTGGGGAACTGGCATCGTGGCCCTTTTCTGCACCCAGAAGTCAGCCTGCAAGATAACAAACACATATAAAAAAGTTGGCAAGAAATTAGTTCATTCTGTTTTGTATATACCCTCATAGCAGGGGCAATACTTATAACAGCTCTATTGAAATCCTTTTCTTTTTGAAGGCTCGTCAATGGTTTGAATGACACTCAGTATAAACTAATAGCATGATTAACCAGCAGTTCTGAAAGCTAATGATTCAGCTCTTACAATGCAGCTTATCATAAACATTATTCTCAAACCATTTATGAAAAACCGAACACTCGACCGCAAGAACTGAAGGTGTCTTATTTTTTAACTACTTTATTCAGAAAACAGTCAGGTTAACATTAACAAGTTGAAATTGCCTCTGATGTACAACAGCCACCTTCATTACCGCAGGCATTATTATTCAGTTCTTTCTTTTTACTCAGAATAAAAACAGAGGAAAGAAATCATAGATCAATATTAATTAGGTAATTACAAATAAACATGTCTCCAATTTGTTCCTTTTTGTTTTTTAGGTATGTGTTTCAGTATTCGGATTTCTTGGGGGCATTCTCGCCAACCAGAATACATATAAGGAATGTCCATCCTTTGGGATGAACGAAATATAAGTATTCTCACAAGATAAATCGTGATGAATGCTCGAAGAGACTGTTTTCTAATTTTCAATCCTGTTCAGGATGCCCATTTTTTGCTGACAAACATTAGTACAGTTGAACCCCTTTATAAGAGACACTGATGTAAGAGACAAATGGGTATAAGTGACATACCAGTGTGTCTACAATAAAACAGGTGTTTATAAGGAAATGAATACGCGGTATTCTGCTTATAAGAGACACCTCACATACATAAAAGACAAGAGTTGCTAGCCAGTGCATGTTTCTTATACGGGGGTTCAACCGTGTACCAAGATGCACCATTTCATGGTCTGCACTACGCTTACAAAATGAGACGGGCATAACGCAGGCCTCAGCCCACCTTGGAAGGCATGGTTGGAAGCGGTGTTGATGCCGGCACCCTTTTTCGGTACTGCGTGATGAAGTCATGTGCCCTCAGGTACGGTGGTGTCGCGCATTGCTCCAGCTTTTTCCGACGATTGATGGCCACTTGACTGTGTTTCTTTGCCATTCTAGGAAAAAAAAAAAATAGAAAGGCGCAGCCTGTTATAGCGTATAACCGCATGCATACCTGAAGTTCATGCCGTGAGGATTTGCGGTTTGAAGTGAGCAAGACTGTGCAGAGGCACCTTGACTATTTAACTGTTGCTTCATTAACCTCAATTTTATGAGGTATGAGGCATTGAAATGGTAAAAACATCTATCGAGAATGATTTTGAATTATTTGAATAGTGAAGTGGAATAAATGAGCTAATAAAAATAAAAACGATTGGCACACTAAACAGGAACATCTATCAATAATTCTAGCTTTGCATGCTTGATTAAATATCAGAAAAGATCTGCTGTACACTCATCAACAATGAGAGCTCGAAACCATCTGTTGCAGAAAAGGGTACGTAAGTAAACTTTTGATACAAAGCAAAGCCTGCGAGTGTCAAGTTTAATGACGATACATCATACCAATGAGCTAGCTTTAATTTTTCATTGGATTTCAGAGGTTAGGGCTTGTCTTGAATGCACGTGGCAAATCATGAGGCCATGCTGGAAAAAAAATCTCGACACCATGCGCTGAAAATAGCACTTATCAGATTATAGAAAGGTACAGAATACTGAATCTGTAATGTTGCACTAGTTCTTTTAATGTTGTCTATGCTGAGTGTGTAGCGACATGGACATACCACGTGTGATGTATTGCAAAGACAAAAACATATTACAAGACAAAACTGCATTATTCCCACTAACAGAAAATTTACAAGCCTGACTTGTCACTTAAATAATGGACAAGGCAAGTCGGTCATAATGGCCACTTGTTCTAATCCATCTCGAGTGTGTGAGGTCACGACATTGAACAACCATGAGCTACGTTAGACTTTTAATTTCGAGGATTAATGGTAATTCAAGCAGCTAAGCACCTGCTGATCATGTGATTGCTGAGACGCGCCTTCTTGTGCTGCAGCCAGTTGGATACGACAGCCACGCCCACTGTGGGCTCCAGGCAGAGCGGCTCTGCAGTGGCCATGACCAGTGCCGCCTCCAGGTAGAGCTTATCCTCGAGACTCCACGAGTGGCCGTCGCCTCGTGCCACCAGGCCCACGTCGCAAAGCACAGACTGCAAATGCGTAAACTTTTTTAGCCTCTTGGCGTGCATACGAACCACAGCTAAGCCTTTGGAACTAAATCAGAGACATAACAAAAGTAGTTCATTATTTAAATTTAGTTACTCAAATATTAACTCTGACACCAGACTTACTCATGAGGAAAGTCACGTGTCCAATGGTGGCTCTTTTATTCACACCCTGAAGCTATTGCACAACAAACGAGGAGCATCACATGGGAGGGCAGTCGCTAATTTCAATGTCTCAGTACACAGAAAGTTCTGCATTTCCATTTCAGAATCACGCTCATGATGTATAGCACTTTAATCATTACCAAGACATGGCAGCCAACTACAATGGTGATAGTGAATCATGAAAGCATGATGATGTATTTGAGAACTCAATATGATGAAGATCTTACTTCCTGGACCTGTAGGTCGGGTGCATCCAGACGTCTAAACATAATGATCACATCACCTGTACTAGCAAATAAGCGCTTCGGTGTGCTGTGCTGAACAACAAAGGGAGGTTATGAGATTGCCGGTGCGAGTTACCAGCAGCTGGTATACACTTTTGCATTTGCAAAATGCTGAAATCAAGCCTAGCTGAAAAATCGGTCATAAAGGTTCAATCAGCCATCAGTCATCAGCCTTCAATTTTCTTCTGGTGCAATAACTAGGTAATGCAGTTTAAATGTCGAGGGCCTGATAGTTATCAGCTGATTGAGCAAGCTTGGCTAAGAACAACAAAGTGAGAATACAAGCTTTAATACTAAATGTCTTGGTTTAGTGTTTTTTGAACAAAAAACACTGACCATGGTGCAATGTATTACAATAACTACACAGATGATGAGCAAATTTTAAATGTAGGGAGAAAGCGAGTGGCCCAAAGCATATCCGCTAAGGCAAGCGCATAACTCAATTCTCTAAAATCCATAGTCTCGCACAGCAACAGCTCAAACTCACCTGAGTTGTTGGTCTTAGGAGTACATAGTGCGTGGCAAATGTGCCCATTGTTGGCAAGCACCTCCTGTGGTCTCGCACTTCAACGACTATGCAGCCGCTGTAGAATACTGGTGCCTAGAAGATGGGTGTGCCAAATGGTAAACGCACAAATCGTGAAGAGGATATCTGTGCGCATGTGAACTTTGAGCCACTTGGCAAACACAAAGTGAGAGGATGTGGCATACCTGAGATCTTTCCAAAAGGTCAACAAGGATTGGTGGAAGCTTTAGCGTGCAAAAGAAACAGAGAAGGACAATAAAGCTTTTCAATAAATTTGCATATCCAGTTGCTACTCGAGAGCCGTTTTCATCATTTATGTTTGACAAGAGAAAACAATCCATGCAAAGCTGGCAGCAGTGACAAAGTAAATGGTACGCTATTTAAATCAAGTTGCTCCCGATAAATATTTCATAAACCTTTCTATAGTGAAAGCGAAGCAATTATTCACATAAACTGAATTCTGTGAAAAAGTGGAAATACCTACTTGTAAAAAAAAATCAATTTACAGGAAACAAAAACAAGAAAGTGGGGCCAAAGTGAACATACTTTATATTGCATTTGTCAAAAACTGCTGTAAATCAACACCATACTTCACGTGCGTGAATGACAATTATTTTCAAGCAAAATGAACTTGAAAAAAAAACTTTTTGCCCGCTATAGTGCCAATGTGCTGCTTCCTTACACGTATACATGCTATTACTTGAGTTTTCTAGCTCCCTTGGTCAACACAATTAAACACTGCATCTGTAAACGGAACTGGCTGGAAAAAGTATTCACATGGGACTATATCACCAAATTCTTGGTTATACGTGAAGACTCTGCATTGACAAATATAGCCAACTTTGGGCAACTACTGAAGTGCAAGTATGCTTCGTAAAGTCTCCACTAACTTTAAATATGTGCATGCGGTGCTACCTATGAATTCTGCAGAGGGCATGAAGGTTTTTCTCTGACTGCTAACGTATACCTGCCCGACATGATAGATAAGTTGTCGACCATGTATCATACAAAATTTAGTGACAAATAAATTCGGCGATCTTCTAGTACGCCACACCTAGATGGAGCAAAACGAACAATTCTATATAATATACTTGATTACATGGTTCTGATGCAAAACATCAAACTGGTCACATGCATGTACCTTAGTTATTACAAATTGTTTTTTTTTTTTTGTGGGTGTGTGAAAAATAGAACGGGTTTATGTGTATGTCTTTTATTGTGTGGTAGTTCATGTTGAGAAAAAAAAGCAATAAAAATAAATGCCCCACAGGACCAAAAAAGTGTCCCGGTTCACGGTACATCATTCTGTGATATAATAGAATATTGCCTTTTATACTTTTACTGATTTGATGCATACAAACGTGTAAGGCCAGTGCACTCACATGAACACACTTCATCTGCATGTGTTTACAGCATTGCAAATGGATGCAGTTTTGTTTCCATAACAACTCCGTGTTTATGTTTCATGTGGTCGTGTACGAGCAGTACATCCGGACAGTGCTCTTTCGTGGCGAAAGGATTTCAAAACAACGTGATGATTGCAGCGACAACTTACCTCTTCATTGTCTATGTACTGCAAGAGTTCACTTTCCTGGAGTAATGAGAAACAAGGAAATGATCACCACAACGAGAACACAAGCAAAATAAACATTTCCCACACCTGATGTCGACGGGTGGCAACTATACAACAATAGCTCACCTCGTAAGGCAGGCGAATAGTTTCCGTTTCTGTGCCATTCTTGGTTTTCAGCATGAGCGAGTAACCTTCGTTGCCGGCATAGAGGTTCAGGACGAGACAATTCAATTTCTCTCTGGACACAAGCTTTGCCAGGAGATTTGAGCCATTGTACAAATTCTGCACGTAAACCACGGCGAAGAAGACGGGTGAACAGACGGTGAGATAACAGTAAACAGTATCAAAATGAGATAACGAAACTAACCTTGTTCCTCAAATTAAAATTGCATTCGGACAAATAGAGCTCAGTCAGCTTCTGTTGCAACGACGGGCTGTAACGAAACCGAACGTTTAGCGTTGATGTCAGCAATAGTACAGGCACACGTAAACGAACAGGCTGAACGACACACTCACTATTTTTCTTTGCGATGTTCACGACTTAACTTTCCAGGCTGCTGCTTGGCTGTTTGCAACAATACCTGTACAAAATGACGCTCGACATGACAAGCGATCGAAGATGCGTACTCGCGAACCAACGGAAAACTTCACTTACGTTTGCCTGTTGAAGGCAAGATGAGATTGTAGTCATCGATGACATAGAGTCAATCAAATGAGTGATGGGAGAAATCTACAAGCGTAGGAAGCAGGAAATAACTGTGAGAAAGTCGCCCGACTCGACAGACGCCGATCGCGGCCACAGAGTTAACGCGATTTCACGCGAAATCGTTCAAAGTACTCACCCGTCAGCTGATGTTTACACCGACGCACTGGACTCTCTCATTCGAGCGTCCGTTTACAAACGCACGCGAACACAAACACATTGTCACTGACGAGCGCATATCTGCGCATTCTCGCTAACATATACATATGCTAAAATCACGACGGATACGCAAGGATCCGTTCCAGATCATTTTGAGCGCCGTTTCGAGGAAACTCATTAAAAAAACTCAGCTTCGCAAACGCCAACTAGGGCACCATTTTGACCAGAGTTACCAGATGTTTCAAAAAGCACGGTCAGAACGCTGAAAGTGCATCAAAGTTATATTAACGCATTCAAAATTCAATAAATTGCATTCAAATCAATAGCAAATAATTTTTGATTACAAGTATTTTTATATTTTTTAGAAATAATAGAGGTCGAAACTTGCCTTTTATATGACAGTTATTATTGAGTATTAGCAGAGTCCATTGAAGGACTCTGGTATTAGTTTGAGTATATTGAGTAATATTATTGAGTAAAAGCTCTGAGGCCTTTACCTTGTGTGGTACGACCAGATACAACTACGTCATAATTCATATTTTAATGCTAGCTTTAGCCTCGCTTATGGCCTCGCTTGTTTGTGTTTGGCGGACGGAGATTGGCAGTCAACAAACTCTGTGCGACTCTTTTTCGGCCGACTCCTCAAGCCGTAACAACGGTGAGTGAATTGGTTCTCAATCGCCAGCAATCCTGGTACGACTAATTAATTGAAATGTTTTCCTTAACGTGTGCTGGTTTATAAGACACCCTTAGTTTGTATAAAGCTGTGATCACTTCATCGTTTTGCGTGCTACATTTATTAACGAACGTTCAAATCCGCGCTACCTACCGCTCAGCTGGAGACGTGCAGTCAAGTCTGCGTGTCGTGCATGCAACTTAAGATTTGTCTCTTGTGACCCATTAAACGACGGTGTTCGCTGCGTGCATTTTTATTTCTTGCAGATGGCAAGGATCAAGGGTGAAGGGAAGCGCGAGAAGCGCGGAAAGTCTACGCTCAATGAGGTTGTCACCAGGGAGTACACCATCCACCTTCACAAGCGATTGCACGGTATCGGTTTCAAGAAGCGCGCACCCCGTGCCATAAAAGAGATCAGGAAGTTCGCAGAGAAGCAGATGGGAACCTCAGACGTCCGAGTTGACACCAGGTTGAACAAGTTCATCTGGTCCAAGGGAATCAGGTGAGCCGGCAGTGTGTTGGCACCGCAACACAAAACCTTCAAACCTGAATGGAAATGTATCGCGTGGGCCCTAAAGTACGTTCGTCGCAGTTTCTGACTGGTGAAATTTCATTGGTATCACTTCGGGTACGGTGGGTTTAGCTGATCTGCGAAATGACCTGGAGTCTCTTTTGATCAGTTCGTGTTTTGCTCGCTCTCATATCTGTTTATGAACCGCTGTAGCACGTAATTATAGAGCTATGAGTAATGTAGGGTTTCCGTAGTCGTTGCAGACATGATAGAATTCTAGTCTGTCTGTTTTTCCCGCTACAGTGAGCATTGCCATCTCTTGGGACCTAAGCGCAATCTTGTGATAAAAGCTCATTTCTAACTGTAATGCTGATACCTTATTGAAGCTGTTTTATCCTCCAAACCAGTCAAATGTCTTTTTTTGTGTTAGTACTCAATACAGTGAAATGCAACTCAAATTCAGATGACCATGTGGTTGCTTGCTCTCCTTTCATATGCACCCGAGACACTCGAACTCCCAACTTTATGGGGTGTTCAAGAATATTACACGCTGGTGCAAAAGAAACGGCAGGTGATAACTACCCGACTGCCTTTTCAACATGTGGGCACCGGGATTTAACGCTCGCCAATAGAAATTCTCTCATTTATTTTTTGTCATTGGATGGTGGTGTTGTCTCATTAGGTATGCCCTGATATTTGTATTTGTACAAGGCACACCTTAGTGACTACATTCATCTGCCAGGGTGGCCTATTAGATATTAGGTAATCATCACCCGCCTCTGATGCACTGCTTTTAGCCATTCAACTTTGATGTGTACAGCTTCCTCAGCAGCCATTAGCAATCTGGGGTGATAATGGTAGTGGCTTTGCTTGCTGCTGGTCTAGGGATCACGGTTTCAGTGGGCTTTTTCTGGGTTTAAACAGCGCCTCTTATGGAGATTGCCAAAATCGAAATTGGTAGTCCTTGCCCTTGATGTTGTCTGCTGCAAGCCGGTCGGCAATCTCGGAGGCCTCCATTTGCGCCTTTCTTTCGGGGAATTATTTGAAAGTTTGTTGCACCAGATATTGCTAGGTCCGTATTTGTGCTTTGGCCACCAAAAATTATGCCACCTGCCTTGTTGATGCCGATGTGCATACGCAGAAAAGCCCATTGTTCTGGCCATGGTTACCCATATTAAAGCGGATTAAGTGCAAAAATTTTTGTGTATTCATTCAGACATGTTGAAGTACACATAAATCGAATGTTGAGTAGACGAGAACTGTAAAGCATTGTTCTAATAAGCAGGTAGTACTTGTTTAGGTGGTCTGCACAACCCTAGTAGTGTCCAAAGCACCTGCCTCTGAGCAGTTCCGACGAAGATGTTATCACTGCCCAACAGCCGGCACCAGGGTTTCTTGTCACGTCAATTGTGGGAAACCTGCGCCAATTGTGCCAACTGGAAATTTCTGCGCCATACTGCTTCAAGAGCAACCTTTCTCATTTGTGTCATTGTTGCGCCGTAAAGTGGTTTTGGAACCGAAAGTAATGTTGACAGCACGCATCGGGAGCGAATTTTACGTAATGGTCGCCATCTTGTACACTTACCTTGCTGCAATTGAATGGAAATACACCAGTAGCACTTTGTTTCGCCTTCATTGTACTACAATTCACTTGTTTACTGTGAGTGATTTGGGACTAGCGATAGTGTTAGTATATACTGACTAGTTGCTTCGTCTTCAAGCCGTCACTGTGATAACCTGTGGTTGCAAATCATTGATCACTTGTTATTTTGTATAAAGGATTTACTGCATTGAAAAATAAAATGCTCAGCTAAGTTATGTCAAGACAGTGCACCCCCGCACTGAGCAGGTTTGCCATTATCGTTTTCAACTAACTGCTACTGGTCAAAACAAATTTAGAACCTCCCACGGATCACATCTTGGCATTATTGTTACTTGGAATTAATGAACCCTGGGTTACCCCACAGCCCACGAGTTCGTTATTTTGGTGTTTGTTGTGCTTTACGAAGACAAATAGTCTATTGGAAGAGGTAAGAGTTGACGTTAATGTATTCCACATTGCCATGCAGGAGTGTTCCATTCCGAGTCCGTGTGAGGCTAGCCCGCAGGCGCAACGAAGACGAGGACTCCCCCAACCAGCTGTACACGCTGGTCACATACGTCCCTGTGGAGAGCTTCAAGAGTGAGTATAAACAGTTGCTGCAATGCTTAGTGCATCTGGGAACACTCAAAAGACCCCAAACTATCCAGGAGTTGAAATTTGATTGAATTGTTGCAGCTGTGCATTAGCCTACAACAAAAATGTAGCTGTAAAAATTTTTCTAGGTGGTGCCGTGATAGGGTAGTTACATGCGCTCAGTGATCTAAAAGAAGACCTTACATATTTCGCTTTTTTCTTTGCTATGTGTCATTCTGTTGGCTTGACTGTACTCCTGGCAGAGTTGTTGTCACCGTGAGAGGACTACAAGCAGCGAGCACTCGTACAGAGGCGTCCACTTCCATCTTGAACCCAGCATTGTGCAACCTTTGCTCTGCGGCGCGCCTCTCGGGGGCGCTTGCAGAACTGGAGTGCAAGAGTTGTGACAGTTGTAGGCGGGGCCTATGCCGCGTCGTCTGCTAAATTGTGGCGGCTGTGCCTATTCTTGCTTGCTTTGCTCGAGAAGTGCAGTGACTGCTGCTTGTTCCACCCAGCTTTTACGCCTTCATAAGTTTCAACCTTGGCCCGTCCATGAACCAAATCTCCAAACTGCGCTGCAGCTCGCAAAACTAAGCGGTGCCATAATAGGGGAGTTCTTCAGGCGACCATGTTATTTTATCTTTTTTCATATGCACCCGAGACACTCGAACTCTCACTTCATGGGGTGTTTGAGAATATTACACGATGGTGCTAAAGAAATGTCAGGTGATAACTACCCGACTGCCTTTTTTAACATCTGGGCACCGGGATTTAGCACTTGCCAACACTATTCCTCTCATCTATTCATTCGCATGGGATGGTAGTGTTGTTTCATTAGGTGTGCCCTCATATTTGTGTTTGTACAAGACGCACCTTAGTGACTAAATTCAGCTGCCAAGGTGGCCCATCAGATATTAGGTAACCATCCCCTGCCACTTAAGTGTCTGTCCGGTGTGCTGCTTTTAGTCAGTCAACTTTGACACGTGCAGTTTCCCCAACAGTCGTAAGCAATCTGGGGTGATGATGGTAGCATGAATACTTAGTTTCAGTGACTCTTAGGCAAAGGTTCTTTAGTTTGGAAGGGCGGCTCACCACTTTTGTTCTGAAGTAGGGCTCAGCAAGCACATGGTCAATCTTGCGCTCAGTATGTCAAGCAAAAAAAAAAAAAAAATTGTGCCATATCCACGGAATGAAGACAATAAGTGGGCGAAGCTCGAGAGACGGTGATCATCAATAAACCACAACTCTTCTGCGAATAGTTAGCCGATTACATCATTAAAAGAATGTAAGACTGTGCATATATTATATGAATCAACATCTATTTTGTTCTTTTTTTTTTTCGTTCATTCTTTTCACAGTCATGGCAACTGAATTGCAAGGTCCTTTCACTATTACGGCTTTATGGTCTGTGAAGTGATGCGAGAGAGGTTCTTGTACTGGCTGCAGTGGGAAATTTGAAAACACTAAGTCTATGCACGTCCCTCAGATTGTGGTAGGTTGCATATGGATATATCTGAGTGCGTACTTGGAAAGCATGTGCTGCACGATGCAGTCATTGGCAATGAGGTTCGTGCGTCCGTACGTTCATGTGTCTGTTCATCTGTTGGATGGATGGATGGATGTGGCTGTACCCTTTAGATCGGGCGGTGGCTAACGCCACCTAGCCGTAATACTTAGTGAACTAACCATTAGATTTATCTTTTTTTTTTTCCTTTAAATAGTGAGGTTGATGATTCAAACTTTGCAGTGGAAGGTTTAATTTTCACTCGTGCCTTGACTTTAGCCACCAATCGGATAACCTCCTTCTAGGAGGTTATCTCCCTGTCCTTGTCTCCCTGTCCCTTGTCTACCCGCTTAAAGTCTATTTTGCCCTCCCTGTCCCTAAACCCCAGTGCTTTGAATGCGCCATCATCCTGAACTATACGGTGAAGCCCTTTACAGAACATTATCAAGTGTTCGGCAGTTTCTTCTTCCTCTCTACACGCACTGCATACTGTGTCTACCCCTTCATATAGTTCACATATGCGCCACCTGCTGAGTGAGTCATACAACTAGGGGGCTACGAACCGGTCACAAAAGACATGCATGGACAGATCCACGGCTTAAGAGCTTCGCCACTGAAAAAATTCGGGAGGGGGCGCATGCATATTGTGCCACCCCTTGGCTACATAACTGCTGAGTTGCTGTTTACCCAGTCGCAACAATGTTCCTGCTGCTCATGTGACTCCTTTTAATCAGCCTCAAGGCTAGGCATGCCACGAAATTTGTGATGAATGCATAGCAAGGTCTTACATAACAGCTTTAAATGTGGGAAGTTTTCATTTGTTAGTCACTTGAAAACAAAAGATTGTGAGCAGTTTGTCCATTTCAAAGTAGTTACATATCATTCGGGTGTTACCAGCACTGTTGCCTTCACGCGCTAGCCTATATGTCACCAGAACGCTGCCCTCATTTTTTTACTCATTTGCAAGCGAGCTTTTCCGTACCATTCTTGCAGACAAATTAAGCAGCGTTCAAATATAGTTTTTAGGTAACCTCATGCCAGGAAATTGGTACACCAAAAAACCACTGCTGTCAAATCTTTCCTTGTCTGCAGGCACTGAGTGAAGCTTCCCCTCCTTTTTATTGCTATGCGGCCCAAGGCCCTCTCGTCACTTTTAGTCTTTCTTAGCTGAAAGCTTCAGCACAGCATGGAATGTTATATTATTGACTTTATTGTGCAAATGTCCAGCTGATAAAAAAAATCCTTGCATATCTACCAAGTAGATGCTGATAATAGAGTGAAGCTATGTCTAAAGGTCCATAATGTCAACGGTGAAGCACCGAATAGCTAGTATCATAAAGCATAGTTGGGTGGACAGATGGACGGAAAGTCTATTTTCAAACCACACGTGCACTCTAAAGATTGTTTTGCGCACAGATGTTTTGCACCTGCGCTACGGCTGTGCCTGGCACCTGGATGGATTGAAGTGGGATGGACATCATGCAGTCCTAAGCAGCTTCGCTCCTAAAAATTTTGTCAGTTGCGGTAATGTTTTGGTTAGCACGAAATAGCTTGGTAGATTAGTAGGTAAAAGCTGGATGGCACGGGGCGCCGTTGCGTATACAAAATCAGGCCCAATGCTTAATTTGCGCGCATACAAGAGCGAAGTTAGTTTCACCACAAAGCAATCGCGATTCGGTGAAGCCGCCACGCTTTAGCAGACTACACGGCGAGTACTCAACCTACAGCTGTCGCTGCACTTACGCGCTAGTCCCTCAGTGACCACAAGAGTCGTTCAACGGATCACTGGCTGCAATGTTGTTCAAGGTGGAAGTGGTTGCCTCTTGCGTGCAAGTCCACAACAGGTTCTTTTTGTGAGTGACAGGAGCAGCCGATGTCATGGTGAATGCGGAGGATTACCAAAAAGCACGGAGAAGAAAAGGGATTGGAATTTGTGGGGCACATATCCCTCGTAGCTCTGCCATGTTTGGCACTTGATATCCTGACTGCATTCTGAACTCTGTTTACTTTAAAATTTTTCTAAGAAATATTTAAATTGGTTTAGGGGCTTTTTAAGCAGTTTGTAATGGTACTTTGGGGACTATCTTGAAGTTTATGTTGGTGTAGAGGCATTATTATTGGCGAGGACAACCTGAGTCTGAACATTGTTTTGAATTCCCCCCCCCCCCCTATGTTTTTGTAATAAATGTATATGAGAGGTTGGTGCCAATGCGTGGCGCCAGCTACTCCTCTTCTCTTGCGCAAAAGTTGACATTGCATATTTTGTAGCAAACACAAGGTTGTACATATGTACATAGCACAACACTTGCGCAATGAGTCCACATTTTTCAATACTGAGATGTGTTCACATCACACAGAAATGTGTCTGCACCACTTGGTACTGATGTCGTTAAATTTCTTTTATTACACCCTAAGGGCCCAAAGGCATTATATTAGGGGGCATACAGAGGTTTCTAAACAGTATAATACAATAATTGGTAACAAATCAAATCAAGCAAAATAACAAATGGATGTAGCATCGGGTACGCACACTGCGAAAAATTGGTCCCAAATCTGCATGTTACACCGCAAATGTTCTGGAAAGACATTAGTCTTGCGTCTGGGGAGAGTGAACAAAACGTTTATTTGATGTTCTGCGCAAGAAAATCGATGATTGGTATTCTGGAAGCGCATCGAGGCACGTTAGACACAAGCGCCATCTGGCAGTTATCTTCGAAAACGAAGGCGTGCAGCCCGCAAAGAAAGATGCGCGCCAGTCTCGGAGGTGATAAGGTGTAGAATGCAAAGCTGCGGGCAGGTACCACCACCTTGACGTCGTAGCAAAGCATTGGAAACACTTTCTGAGCATCGCGTTGCACTGTCAGCGCAGCGCAATAAACGTTACATTCCTTTAGAGTTACTGTGTGTGCCTCTTTTAGTATAAAGGCAGACATGCAAAACATCGAAGCGTTGTTGTGGTGCCTCAGATATGCGCGATAATTGCTTTAATTGACAATTGCACAGATATGAACAACGCTAAACCTTGAGCAATATTGGTGGGCACTGTGGATGAGGTTGGCCGTTTGGTGCCGTTTGAGGTATCGTTAGGGCGTACAGACAAATGTACAGACAGACAGGCAGACCAAAATATTTTCGTCGAAGGTCCCCAAGAAAGACTATAGTCTTTAAAATTCAACATCCTTTGGTAGGCGCATATTGGAAAAAATAAATGCACAGGTTTTGCAAAAGTAAAATCATCAAGGGTGTAAACTTCCTATGATTGTGTCAATCTTGAATTAAAAAAGCTGTGAGGTCTTAGTGCACTGTGTCCATGCAGTTTGCCTTCCTTTCACCTTATAATTGCAATTTTGGCAAACTATTGAATTGTTCAAGTCATTGTCATGATCTGTCATGCACAAAAGAGATGGTGTAGGAACTATAAAAGTGGTATCTTTATTGGTCCTACTAAATTAAGAGCTGCCACATGTTGAAGTCAGATCGTGCTTTTCCTTCAGTAACAGTATTCTTATCGGGTGAAACATTACAAAACTTAGGCCTCTCTGTCTGTAATTATTTTAAGGTAGTTGATTGTCCTGCTGGTAATTAGTAGGATGCAACGGAGAGAGGGGTGGTCCATTTATCTCATTTTGTCCAAGTTTGTCTGAACAGTTTTTATTAATTGCCATGTTAGCACAGCACAGTGTCTAAAGGTGATTTGTTGTCACAGACAACAAAAGCATGACATTTCATCTATGGAGAACATACTATTATTACTCTGCATATTTATTTTTATACCACCAAATTGTGCATTTCCACTATTTAGGATGCAATGCACTTCTGTTTACCTCTGACCGCGAGTGTATTTGTCATATTGAACCCTTTCTGGATTAGCAGGTACAATGTGATTTTCAAAACAGATATGTTTTATATTCCTTTTTTTTAGCATCTTGAACTGGTCAGTAAATGTTAACTGATTTCTTATTGTTATAGGAGTTGCTGTACCAATAAATGCTCCATCAGGTAGTATCTCTATAGGCTATCCCTGCACAGAATGGAGTCTTGTAGAAATACAATTGCTAAAAGTTACTTGCACTATCTATTGTTGGAGTTAATTTAGATGTAAAATATGAAGAGTGTATAGTGGTGTCTCAAGAGAAATGCATGTCACTCTTGTTTCAAAACAGGCATGCTTCCACAGCATTTTATTTAAGCTTTGCCATTTTTGTGTCCTTTAGAGGATCATCCTGTGTGAAAACTGGTTTTAGGTTTTTGCATTGTACTAAACTCCTGCTTTTTCTTTCTCCTTTTCCAGGGCTCCAGACTGTCAATGTGGAGTCCAGTGACAACTGATGTGCATTGCGTAAAATAAAGAGGTGTACAGAATTTTTTCGTGTTGTTTATACGAAGGCGTTTTTGGATACTCTTCTCTTTGTATTAAAGGACAAAGACTTACATGGGTGTAGAATGTCCGCTACAAAGAATAGTAGATACATTAGAAAATGTTCTCTCAAAACTTCTGAACAAAGGGCTCGATAGTGTTTTTAGCTGTATTGGATCTGTGACAGTATTGAGAATGACAAGCCATGACAATTTCAGTGTGGTGCAGAGGATGCAGCTGCTGTGCAATGCCACATTTATACCGCTTCAGTCAACTGCCGCTTATGTAGATCCATACAGTATTGTAAATTGCCGGTTATGTATTTGCTTGCTGATAAATACCATAGGCACGATATCTGAGTTACTGAGGTAAAGGTCCTTTGATATGCCCATCAGAGAGAGACCAGCACAAGCACATGAATGCAAGCATTCATCAACTAACAACTCGTAATTTTCATGATTATCATGCAATGCTTTAAGAGCGTTGATGGCTCTGGCATGCAATTTTTTTATAATTTTCTATTTATTACATATTGCAATCCGTAGACCAAGCAGGAGGGGCACAAAAAGGGAGCATAGCGAAAAAAGCGAACAAGTTATACAGCAAGTTAGAATACACAAAGCTACTGAAAAACAAGTCATACTAAATAGGATGCTTAGTTATACATATCTAGAAAAAAAAGCGAACAAACTTCTAGAAACAGTTTCAAGCACAAAAAAGTAAAGCTACACAGTTGAAATAATAAGATGAGGTAATCTAGCATTGAAATATCAAGTGTTGATTACACAAAAAGATGCATGTAGTTTTCAAAGTTGGGAATGCCACGTTCAGGAAAAACATTTGAAGGCAGTGCATTCTATTCGCTAATGGTTCTCGGAGAGAAGGAATGTTTGAAAAGGTTAGTACGTGCAAAGTAAGGTGTCAGATCGTGATTGTGAGTATGCCTGGTTTTCCTGGAAGAAGAGGGAGAGATGTATTTACTGGGATCGATATTAAACTGATGATTACAAAGCAGGAAAAGAAACTTGAGTCTGGCGATAGTTCTACGCTGTTTCAAGAGCGGAATGTTGTTAGTAGCCATAAGTGATGAAGGTGAATCAAGATTGTGATAGGCATTATAGATGAATCTTACCGCTCTCCTCTGGACCATTTCAAGTTTATAAACATCCTTTTTAAAATACGGGTCCCAGGCTACGCATGCGTACTCTAGACGGGGCCGAATAAATGTATTATATGCAAGAAGTTTGATCTGAGTTGGCGCGTTTTTTAGTTTGTGTCTAAGAAACCCTAGTTTTCTAGAGGCGGAGGAACAAGCGTCGTCAATGTGGTTACTCCACGACAGTTGATTGGTAATATTGACTCCCAAGTATTTAAAATTGCTCACTTCGATCAACAGATTATTATTTAAAGTGTAGCGTGATGCAAAAGGGGTAATTTTATTTGAGATACGCATATAGACCGATTTACTAATGTTTAACTCCATCGACCAGGTATGGCACCAAGAGCAGAGAGAATTTAGGTTGTTCTGCAAGCACTCTTGGTCCCTTTCACTTTTAATTGGCTTGTAAAGAATGCAGTCATCTGCAAAAAGCTTTAGGCTTATGGCGGAGGTGCAAACTGATGAAACGATGTCATTGATAAAGATGACAAACAAGACAGGGCCAAGGACACTGCATTGTGGAACTCCCGAGGTTACAGGTAGAACCCCAGAGCAGCAGGCCTCAACCTGGACCAACTGTTTGGGGCTGGTATGGTAGGAGCGGATCCAATTAATTACAGTAATGGGTAGGCCAATGTTTGAAAGTTTTGTGAGTAATTTACTATGGCAAACATAGTCGAAAGCTTTTTTAAAATCTAAGAAGATGGCGTCTATTTGGTCGCCCTTATCAAGTGCCATTGCGAAGTCGTGAATTGTGGTGACAAGTTGAGTGGTAGTCGAGAGCCCCTTCCTAAAACCATGCTGGAAAGGAGTCAAAATACTGTTTTCTTAAAGAAATGACATTATGTAATGCGTGATGATATGGTCAAGAAGTTTACAAGAACCGGAAGTTAATGATATTGGCCGGTAGTTTTTTACATTTAGGCGATCACCTTTTTTAAATACGGGAATAACACGTTCCGTTCGCCAATCATCGGGAAGAATGGAATTATGAAACGAAACACGAAAAATATGGGTGAAGACATGCGCGATAGGTTCGGCGTAACGTTGCAAAAATGCATCAGGTATGCCGTCGGGACCATCGGAAGATTTAGTCTTAACATTCAGTAACAGTGAAAGGACACCTTCGACAGTTATGAAATCGGCAGATATAGTAGACAGAGAAATAATGTTTGTGTCAGCATGATCTCCCTGAGTGAATACTGAGTGAAAATACTGATTGAATTGGTCTGCAATTTTGACTGGATCGTTAACAATACAGCCATTTACTGATATCTCGGTCGGTGTTTTGTGCGCATCGCTCAAGTACCGCCAGAATCTATCCGGGTTAGTTTTCAAAAAGTTAGGAAGCGAGTGGTTGAAGTATCTTGCCTTAGCTTCGCTTAGGCGAGTTGCAAGCTGGGCCTTCAACGAGATAAGTCTGCAGGGTATTTTTTTCTTTTTTCTAGCTCATTTTAGCTTGCGGTGCAAATGTATGATATCTCTAGTAATCCATGGGTTATTTCGGTTTTTCCTAACCCGTTTGCTTGGCACAAACTTATAAGTGCAGTAATGTATCGCAGTTTTTATTTCGTTCCAGGCGATTGGCACATCATCAGAAAGATTATCACATAAGAACCACAGATAATCCAAAATGGCCTGGTCATCCGCCTTCGAGTAATCCTTAATGACATGTCTGGTCTCTTGTCGGTGTGCTTTGTTTTCACCAATACCGAAGGATAAAAATACTGCTCTATGGTCGGAAATGCCATCTTCAATAGAGACCGTGTATTTGCAATATCGGTATTTAAAAAGACTAGGTCGAGTGTAGAACGGGTGTTTCCAGCCTCTCTGGTGCACTCATTAACAATCTGCACAAGATCGCACATCAAGGCAATGTCAGCGAGAGGGTTTAACGTCGTTACATCAGAGCCAGAGCATGGAACGCGCCAGTCAACATTGGGCAAGTTAAAATCACCTGCAAGAATCAGACGATCATTTTTAAACGTGCACATGTGGTCATATAGTCTAGACAGATATTCGTGTGTTGAAGAGGGTGGTCTGTAGATGGCACATACGGTGAAGTAATGGCCCCAGCAGCTTACCTTAAGGCATAAACTTTGGTGCTCATGAATTTGTTGAAGAGGCCGAGCACTAATACAATCTTTGAGAACTATGGCTACACCACCACCTCTTGTTGGCCGGTCACGTCTGAAGATTTGATATCTCGGAGGAATTAGTACTGAATCATTTATACCTTCCTGCAGCCAGGTTTCTGTGATTATTGTAATGTGAGGGTCGTAGGTGAGTAGAAGGTACTCGAGCTTGTCAACTTTATTTGACAGGCTTTGCGCGTTTACGTTAAGCACTCTAAAACTTTTGGACACACACTGTCGAGCGGGTCAATCAGAACCTGTAGCTTGTGGATTAAGGGCTACACGCACATTTTGGGCTTCATCCCAGCCAAAAAGTTTGCCATCAATTTTGATCTTGTCGTGAATAAGAGTAACACGTTTCCTGCTGTAGCGTTTAGCTTTTGCACTTTCCCAAAGCAGGCGGCGCTTGCGCAGCGTGCACTGGCTATAATCATTTTGCACATAAATATTGGAGCCCTTCAATTTATATGAATTCTTTAAGACTTCTTGTTTCTCCTGATAATCTTGAAAGTAAGCTATGACAGGCCTACGACTACCTTGGCGACCAAGACGGTGAATGCGGGCTATGGACTTGCACTTCACTCCCAATGTATTCTCGAATATATCGGTTACAACAGCAGTTCGAAGACAGGTGTCATTTTCATTTGTGTTTTCGAGAACACCATGAATGATAAGGTTTGCCCGACGGCTTCGGTCTTCGAGATCGGTTAACTTGGAGCTCTGCCATGACAGCACAGTTTTAAAGAAAGCTTCAGTGGATTCAAGAGCTGCAACTTCCGGTGATTTATCTTGTAGTTTTGCTGTAGTTTCCTGTAGTTTGGCTTCAATTAATTGCTCGAAATCGCAAGTCCATGTCGCACATTATTTGTTCGTTCATCGATTTTAATAGCAGTATTTCAGCCTTCATATCTGCTTGGCCCTGAAGAATACTGTGTAATAAATCAGCATTCGTGGGTCCTGGGTTTGTCTCAACGTCACCACAGAGTGACATTTTGCATGCACAATAGCACTCATATGCAATACTTAAACAGGTGCTTGGGCACGGCACAACTACTAACATGACTTAATCACTAGTTTTTATGTTGGAAGCAGAGTAGCTAACCTGTACAACGAAGAATTTCGTGGTCAGCAACATGGTTGCTGTCGTCTCGCCGTGCCCACTGTCGGAAGTTTGCGGCCATTGGGGAAATGATGCCTGTAAGCATGGCATACAGTGTTTAGATAGCTTTCCATGAGCTTGCCCAAGCTTTATAAAGTAATTTTCTAAAGTACCCATTGCTATGGCTAATAGTAATACGCTGCCCTGCCGCGGTAGTCTAGTGGCTAAGGTTTTGGCGGCTGACCCGCAGGTCGCGGGTTCAAATCCCGGCTGTGGCGGCTACATTTCCGATGGAGGCAGAAATGTAGGCCTGTGTGTGCACGTTAAAGAACCCCAGGTGGTCGAAATTTCTGGAGCCCACCACTACGGCGTCTCTCATAATCATATGGTGGTTTTGGGACGTTAAACCCCACATCAATAGTAATATGCTGCTGCACGCAACCTCCATTGTGAACTAAGCGATGCCAGGTATGCCTTGTAGACCTGAGCATGGAATGGCCACTTTGAAAGCTAAGCTTGTTATGTAAAGTATGTCGAACTCCTGCTATAGCACTGCGCCGGCCGTCCAAATAGGTTCCCGGTGGGCAAACCAGGGCTTGTTAATTAGAACATTCAAGTAAACGCGCGCACAGATTCAAGGATGCCAGCACGATCAACAATGCCAAACGTGGCAGTGATTCTCCGGGCCTTTCGGCAGTGATCAGCCCCTGAAGTGTTCACTGGGACGTCTACTACAAGTGTGGCGGTTTGGGCTAGTTGGTATGTCATGACGATAGTGGTAGCGCGAGGACAAGAAGGAGACGAGCGCTAACTTCTGGAAGTTGGCGCTCGTCTCCTTCATGTCCCCGTGTCGTCCTTCTGTTCTCGCCAGAAGTTGGCGCTCGTCTCCTTGTCCCTTTGTCGTCGTTCTGTTCTCGCGCTAGAACTATTGTCATGCCAACTACAAGTCCGTACGTCTACAAGACCTGTTCATCCGCTGAGAGGCGTGTATATGCTCTTGACGCTCGTCGTCCTCGCAAGGCGAGCACTCGGCCGAGAGGAGAGACGATCCGCCGAACGGAAGAGTGAAACAAGCGAGGGCTCTTTTTTTTTTTTTTTTTTTCCCCTATTGCGTGGCTGAAGGGCATTCTTTGCCGAATTGAACTGACATGCCAAAATCTTATCAGCACAGAATATAAAATACAAAAATATAGCCTCCGCCTACAGAACCACGGCGCTCATACCATTCTCAGTGAAAGATTCCTGCTAAATGGTTCCGCTCGAACCATTACAACCGCATGGAACCGTAACACAAATTCGCTTGGTTGAGCCGCGAAATTGATAACGGCCGTTAACATATACAGATACGTTAATAAGGAGGTACGAATAAATTACTAGAACCAGTTTATGAAACGCGGTCCAATAACGACCGCAAACCTGTCGTTCTTGGAGCTTTGCATAGAGTTTCATACACTAAGCAGTATGAAACTCTATGGAGCTTTGCATAATCGTCCGTGGTCGTCTAAACTTCAAATGCGCCTGACGATAGTTATAGCGCGAGAACAAAACGACGACACAGAGACAAGAAGGACACGAAAGACACGAGCTCGTGTCTTTCGTGTTCTTGTCTCTGTGTCGTCGTTTTGTTCTTACCAACTAGCCCAAGCTGCCACACTTCCAAATGCGCCATGCGGCCGACGCGGTCTTTCATGACGTAACCATAGCAACATCACACGCACTATTGTGGACATACCTAATATTAGATGAAAAATTGTTTGCAAATCTAATCTTGTTGTCTAAAAGATAATCGAACAGCATTAAGCTTTGTGCGAACAAGGCTCGTTCACTAGCTACACTTTCTCAGCAGCTCGCTCACCATCGCCATCAATCATGGTGTCATGGCCGCTGTGGGCACGCGAGAAAGTTTGAAAAGTGGTGTTGACGACGAATACTCGCTTATCGTGACTTGCCACAAGACGGTGCACGTGCCGTTGCCTCCTGCATACATCGGCTCTGAGGGAAGAGGAGTTAAGACGCTACTTGAAAACTGGAAAGGACAGTATGTCGAGAGGTGTGTGCCACATGTGCTTTGGCCGCGAGAGTTTCTGCACGCACGCGTGATTACATATTTTACAGAACATGCGAGCCACTTTCACTGTCAATCGGAAAATCTCGCCTCTAATCGATCTTTCATCTGTGCTAAGTTTTGCGGTAGCCTGTGAACGAGGGCTGCGCTCTACGTGTCTCAATTTAAGGCGCAGTTCATGAATAGTCGCTTCTGCGACTTGTTATGATTGCGGTGATAGTGATGAGACTGGAGGAATTTTTCATGCGAGTGCCTGAATTTCGTTTGTGTTGACGCTTTCAGACTTAACGGTGTCCTCCTGGGATACGAAAACCTCAAGTTCGTCGAAGCAAGTGGCATGATTATTGATGACCAGCCGTTCGTGCACCGAGATGTTGTCGGAGACTTCCAAGTTTTTAGGCCGGAGACTGGATCCATCGTACGAGCTCACATCAACAGGTGATGTGTTTCATCAAGAGTAGATGTTCAATGCATGAAAAATTGCGAACATGTCAATCAGTACTTTAGATGTGCCAGTTTTAGCACTCTGTGTGCGCCAGATGGAATGTATTGCTTAAGTAAATGGAGTAAATATGACGAGCGTGTTCAGTGAACAGATGTCCTGCGCAAGCTAAGCTGCGATTGTCTTTCCCGAAAAGTGGGCTACTACTTACAGACTGCTTCAAATACATCTCACTATGTCATGACTTATATGTGTTTTTTTTCCCCTCTGCAGAATGAGCAAGAGCCATGTGGGCTGCCTAGTGCACGACTGGATCAATCTATCCATCCTGTTGCCCCCAAATCCTTCTCCTGAGCTTTCACGGTACCTCAACATGGGTCAGGAAATACTCTGCAAAATCACATCAGTGTCGGTGTACCGCCACAATGCACTCAGACTTCGTGGCGCAATCACATCTGAATGGTTTGTATGTTGTATGCATCTCTTTCAATGTTATTTTGAAAAAATACAATCTAAAGAAAGTGTCTTCTTCGTAGGAAGTGCAAAACTGCACACAGACAGCAAAAAAGAGAGACACAATACAAGCACATAACTTCAACTAAGCGTTTATTTGGAAAAGTGAACGCATATACAGGTAAAAAAACAAAACCTAAACACAAACATATAGCCCACGTGTCACGCCAGTCATCTTTCATCCATTGCTGCTTAACACGCCATCCAAAAAGCGAAGTTCCTCATGTATAAGCGAGATAGATAGTGCTACCACACAATCAAACTCACCACGATTCATTTCTGTAGCCCTAACTGTTAATCCGATTAACAAATCCCTGTTGCAATATAAGAGGCAAGTGTTATCAAGGTACTGCACACAACCACAATCATTGCAGTAGTTAGCCAGATCCATGAATTTCTGCACCTTATTATCACATTCCCTTGCACACTCATTGATATACCTTGCATTTGCCCAATGTATGTTCGGCCACGCGACAAGGGTATTCTCTTTAAAATAAAGTGGTTATGGCTGCACCATAGAAACTGTCAAAACTGTGTAGTGAAGCCTGCCCTGTTTTAAAAGAAAAAAAAGTGTTGCAAAATTAACCATCACAATAAATATGTTCTGTGCACACAGGCTGTTGTGTATAGAATACCATTGTCGCGTGACCACGCATAGAAAGGTGTATCAATGAGCACGTAAAAGAACATGGTAATAAGGTGCAGAAATTCATTGATGGTTGCCCAGCTATCCATTTTAATGACTGAGGTTGTGTGCGGTACCTTGATAACACTTGCCTCTTATATCACGACAAATATTTGTTAACCTGATTGCTAGTTGAGGTTGCAGAAATGAAACGTAGCGATTTTGATTGTGTGAGTGCACCGTCTATCTCCCTTATACAGAAGGAACTTCACTTTTTGGATGGTGTGTTAGGCGGTAATGAAGCACTGAGGACAATCACTTGACACGTGGCCTTTTTGTTTGTTTTTAGGTATCATTTTTTTTTCACCTGTATATGTGTTCGCTTTTCCAAAGAAACGCTTAGTGTACGTTAAGCGCTTATATCGTGTCTTTATTTCTTGCTGTCCGTGTGTAGTTTTGCGCTGCCTACGAAGATGGATCTGTACCAACTTGCTTGATCTACTCATTTATAAAGAAAGCACACGGCTGTTACGCTTTGCAACGTGAAATCAAGATTAGTAGCACAACATTCTTGCTGTGTTTTATGGTTGTTTGGTTATTACGGTTATCTGTTCATGTAGTGTTTGGGTCTACCTTGCAACATGCTTAACTAACTTGCATTGACAACTTGCACCTCAAACATGGAGTCCTGATATCATGAATATTGAAGTAATTATTGATAAATTCAATAATTGTTTATCTTTTAAATGTGCCTCTTGTATCGGGTGCAATGCCTTGAGATAGGAGTTGCATTGTAAATCAGTTATGTTAATGGGCAAATTAAATACCACGTGTTTTCATTATCGTCATGCTTGAATCCTGGTCCTGCATGGCATTTTTTTGTGTATTTCTTGTGCTATTTCTTGTGCTATCTGGTCACTTCAGCTTTCTTTGAAATAATTGTACAATCCCTTGTAGTGAATTTTAAGAAATGTGACAGATTCGTCATAGCCACAGCACTACTTGGTCATATGTGGCGCTTGCACCAGCGAACACCGTTAAACCAGTATATGACAGCTTGTACCTTGAGGGGATTCCCTAATGTGCACAGATTCAACAATACACTAGGGGTGCACGAATAAGCCAGCGCCAAATCAAATAGTGATTGCACCGAATTTAGTACTGTCCGAATACACTTGAACCACATCATAAGAGACATGCGCTGGGGAGCTGCCTCAATTTTTTTTTTCAGTTTTTTTTTTAACACAGAGCGATCTTGAAGCTCACTCTTTGGCGGGTATGTAATGGTGCTTCTCTGCCTCTTGTGTGTTGCACAGCCTCAAGTTAATGCAGGACACCATACCGCTCACACGGTCGTCTTACGACGATGAGCTGGTGGAATACGAGAGCAACTTTGGCGATGACTGGAACGATAATGGCGGCTCTGATGCGGAGGCTGGGGAGCAGGAAGAACTGTGCTACCTAGAGCCCGAAGAAGACTTTTCAATGAAGAGACGGGATCAGCTTCTATCGCAGGGCGATTCATTAGCCACGCTGGAACCGCCACTGCAGTCACCAGAAAAGCCAAAGAAGAAAAGGAAGAGCGTTGGCAGTAAAGAGAAGCAGTCCAGCATGCCAGCCAGTCAGTCGAGTGATGCAGCAGTAACGCAAGAATCAGAGCTTTCGTCCACTGTACTTTCAGACTCTGAAAAATCGAAAACCAAGGCCAAAAAACGAAAGCTTCAAGATGACACTGGTGGTTCCCCTGCACCCAAGAAACGGAAAAAAGAGAAAGAGAAGAAAATAAAGAAAGAAAAGGACGTGAATGGAAGGTAATTTCATGTTCCCTACTGTTTGAGCAGCCTTGTTACTTCAGAAGGATAGTAAATTAGCCAAGTGAAAAGTGATATATTGCAAAAAGCTCATGATCTAATCAGAATGTGCACTTATCTTTATTCTCTCTCATTCATTTTACGCTGTTTGCAATGACTCTTCTAGTTCATTCACTGCATTCTGCAATTAATCTAGTGAGTGCTCCGCTGCGGTGGTCTAGTGGCTAAGGTACTCGGCTGCTGACTCGTAGGTCGTGGATGAAATCCCGGCTGCGGCGGCTGCATTTTTGATGGAGGCGAAAATGCTGTAGGCCCGTGTGCTCAGATTTGGGTGTTCATAAAAGATCCCCAGCTGTCCGAAATTTTAGGAGCCCCCAACTACGGCGTCTCTCATAATCATATGGTGGTTTTGGAACGTTAAACCCCATGTAACAATTAGTCATCTAGTGAGCAGAGATAAGTCTTAAGTTTGTGTGTGCTTTTTTTGGGGAGACTTCTCTTTGGTTGAACAACCCCTGGCGTGCTTTTGGATGTTATGTCTGTCCTTGTTAGGATTAAAGGGCCCACTTCCCACTAGGCAGCTGTGCGAACTGCAGTTGTATGCTGGATGGTGTAAGGATACTGTATAAATATCAGTATTTCAATCAATTGGTGTTGAAGAAATTGTAAGAATTTGAAATTTACAGGGCCATGTGCATAGAAAGCTTAAAATTCAACGAACACATGCTCCCCTTTGCCTCGACTAATGTCCACTAGGGAGCATTTTTACTTGCTACAATTTATCTTTCCTTACATTACATATCAATTTAACGTCATTCAAAACATAATCAAGACTCAAATGGATTGGGGAAGGGACCAAAAACAGTGACTGAACAGTGATCTCCTTCTCAGGTGCCTCAAGCTGGCTCTGCCTCAATTTTAGTTAAAAGTAACAGCATCAATAATTTGCAGAAGTGCTACCTTGTGCATTTGGTAATGTCTTCAATTTTTTATGTAGGAAAAAAGAAAAGAAACTGAAGAGAGAAAAGGGAACCAAGGTGGACATTGAAGACAATGCGAGCACAGTTTCATATTCTAGTGATCGTATGTCAGCTTCTGAGAGTGCTTTCATCAAAGATGTTGCCAAGAAGAAGAAGAAGAAAAAGAAAAAGGAGAAAGCGCTAAAGGCGGACATTGCAGAGGACGCGAGCAGCACGGTTTCGTATTCGAGCGAGCCCCTCATGGCTTTCGAGGGTGCCTCTATCGAACACGTATCCAAGAAGAAAAAGCTGAAAAAAAATGTCCTAGACATGGAGGCTGGAGACATTGGCAGTAGTGCAGCTTCTCTTAGCAGTGATCGTCTCTCGGCTGCAGAAATGGCCTCCATTCAAGACGTTGCAGAGCCAGTTACTATAAAGCACGAGTTTTCAGTGTCTCCAAGAAAGCATGAAAAGAAGCACAAGAAGATCAAGATGGAAAATGGTAAGCTTGCCAGAATGTTTTTGTGCTGACTGGATCTAGCATTGCTCATTATCAGGTGTGGGGTCTCGAACTTGGCGAGCGAGCGCCACACACTGCTCTTGGAGTGAAAGGACATAGTATACGCAGCCAGTACGAAGCAAACAATACACATGCATTTATTTAACTAATTTAGAACGACGATATCGTCCGCCGAATCGATACATCAATCGTTATCAACATGCTAGGACATCTGTACACAACATTACCGTACACTCCATGACAAACACAATAACACGACAAACACACAATAACACACCCAAGGCGGCGTCGCCAACACTTGACTTACCACGGCGGGTCCCGACGCGCGACCCACAGTGTCACGTGCCGATGACCCCACGCTAGAGACAACCGTTCGCGGCAACTGCCACAAGTGCAGAAGACTCACTCAACTCTTGCCCGCCACGAAGGCTTGCTTTCCGCCAGGGGCCACCCCCGGCGCTACATCATGATGATAGTAGTGCTCAACCCGAACACAACGCCCTTTGTCACCCGGTGGTTGTAACTTGAAATGCGGCTTTTGGGCGAGACACGTGCGCAACGTGGCGTAAACAACCTTACAGGGGGTGTCAGCGCCCTCACACAATATAGAAGTTGTCAAATAGTTGGATGGCAGTGCGAGGACACCAACGGCTGTTAGTGTATATAGGGAATAGACGAGGGGTTTGCGCCGTGTGTGCCGTTGATTCTGTTATGAAAGCTTTGTTCACTTGGCTTTGCGAATGATGATTGGAGCTAAAAATCCACGGAACTTCATGAAGTGAATGATGACTAATGCGCGAAGCTAGCTCTTAGGGTCTATAATGTCTACATTGAAGTCGCCTAGTATGCAGGGTGTGTGCTTGTAGGTGTTTTATATTGTTTTTTCACAATTGTAATTTTAGTTTGCCTGTTGTCTTCGAGATCTTGGAGTGGCATCCTCTCGCGTGTGACGTCAGTTTGCGGGCTTCGCTTTCAACCGCGCTGCTTTGCGCGGATCGTCCACTTCGGGCGGGAACTTTGTCGAACAAACAGCCTCCCGAAGGTCAACTAACGCCCAACAAATGTTTTTGAGTGCAATTATGAAGTTGTTTTAGTTGCAGCCCAATCGACAAGGCTAAAAAACCTCCCAGATGGCTGATCAGCAAGCCGATGTCGCCGACCGCATTGCTGGTCAGAAAGTGAAACTGTGTGAGTGTTCTCACTCGTCCTCTGTATGTTTCTGCCGTGTGATACTATTAGATCGGTCGTTTTGAAATTTCAGTGAGCATGCCTTTCTCCAGCATCTACAAGCATGTAGATACAGCAAGAAAAACATTGCCGTGTCTCATCCACGGTGTGGTGCTGTCAGTGGAGGTCGCATCAGTGTCATGGCTCTGGTTCTGAAAACACGTGGACTTGTGAACACACCAGACAACATTCGTTAGCTTTCGCAACAATTCTAAAGAAGAGGGCACGCCTGCCCTTTTCCTTAGTATATTTTTTTTTGCAGTGCAATGATAATGACAGTAAACACGAGGATATGTGTGGGAATCGCTTGTTTTTGCCACTTTGGAATTTGCCAACAACACATGAGATGATTACTACAGAGTAGCTATTTAAATTATTGCTTTGGCAGTAAATCGACAGCTTCTGGCATCTACTAAAAATGCAAAGCAGCATCAAATTAACAATCTTGAGACAATCGTGTGGATTGCAGTTATGGGCGTCGGCAGGGTGCAAGCCCGTGTTATATCACAATAAGAAAAGTGTTAAGGGGTAGGCGCTGGTGTGACTTGGGAAGGGAGCAAGCTCCGCCTTAATGCACCCCCTGGCTGATGCGAATAACTGCGGTTTGTTTCAGTAATGTTTGTTCAATAAGAGCAACATCATGAAATAGTTCACACTAGTACCACACTGGACCATCGCTCGAATATCAGAATATACCAAATAGTAGCTATTGCTGATTGTATATACCGCGCACAGGGCCACAAACATTATGGGACAATCTTTAGTGAATGTGCACTAAACAACGACAGCAGGTTTCGCATATGAATAATCAGAGCGCTAGGTGCACGCTTGTCTTGATCGGTAAAATACGTATGTATACACGTACACCAACCAAATAAAGCTGTAGTCTCGGATGTCGAGCACCACTCAGTGGTGCTCATGAGGCGCGCTTAACCGAGGCAGTTCGGAGGCCGCGTTGTCGGCTATGGTAAACTCGGTGTCGTGGTTAGGTTCGTCACGTAGCAAGGCATGTGACGCGAGGAAGATGGAGACAGTCAAGGAAAACAAAAGGGAGTTATATTGGACGAACAAAACTATTGCACATACAGTACTAAAGTCGTACACGCACGCAGTTCATACACAAAAGAAAAGAGTAAACAGTCTCACAGTCTGTGCCGTAGCCCGGTGCCTTGAAGTGGGACTTGTTGCGTGCTCGGATGCTGTCGTCGCTTGGGTGCCAGGTCGGCATACCACTGTAGAGGGCATCACCAGGTCTAGGCGTAGCCGCACACTGTCAGCGACGTCGGCTCGCTGGACGTGGTCAGCAGCTCCAGTCTTTCGAAGGCGCTCGCCGTACCGGAGATGTCCACAGGACCACTCACCCAGAACTCGCGCCTAGCCACGCCGACACGCCGTGCTCCGAGGACGTCAATGGCTCGAGGACTGGAACCCGGCCTTTCGAACCTCGCGCGTAGTTGTGGGTTCGCCCTGGGCTCCCTTGCGTCATCTTGTCCGCGTCCGAACAGCTTTGTTGTCCGCGAACGTCTCCTCTTCTTTTTTCGATGAGCGCGCTGCAATGCCCCTTCATTCTTCTCATCTTCCAGGTGATGTGGCGCTGTCGTCTGCTATTCTCGCATTTTTTTAAGCTACTACAACACACTCGGATTCTCCATGTCTTCAGTGTTCGAGTCCATAATGTTGCACGTAATGAGTGAATCAACTTCGCACGAGATTTCAAAACATAATGCCTGTTCAGAAGTGATGCCCACATACACGTACGTTCTTAAGTCTTGAGCTCCTATCTGTTTATGCACACATGAGCCATGTGACCCACTTTTGTTCCTTTCTTATCTTATTTACACTTATGTCTCATGCGGCAGTCAAATATCGCCCAAATCGCCATTGTGACTGTACTCTTGGATGAACGGACACAGCAGACGCGATCGGAACAAACCAAACAATACACACACTTATTTAATTAACTACCTTTTGATCGACGATATCGTCAGCCGAATTATTATAACATCAATTGTGATTAACACGCTAAGACTTCCTTACACAATATTAGGCAACACTCAACAACATGACAAACAAGGCGGTGTCTCTAACGCCTGACTCACCACGTGGGCCCACCGCAGACGGCCCGTGGTGCCGTTTACGGCAGATCCACTACTGGAGGCAACTGTCCGCACTACGGCCCCACACCAAAAGAGATCAGCTTATTTCTCGTGCGCCGCCAGCAAGGGCTGCCGCCAGGCGTCACGGTCGGGGCTAATGTTTTCTAACCATCATGATGGTAGCGATCATCAACGCTCGCGAGCACAATGCCACTTATCGCTAAATAGTTGTCACCCCGAAAGCGGCTTCTGCGCGAAACACGTGCGCCACGAGGCGCAAGCAACCTTACAGGGGATGTCAGCATTCCCACGTCTCTCCAATCTTAACTCAAACCATATTACGAAAAGAGAAATAATTTGTTCCACAAGCTCTAGCAAAACATGACAACCCATGTCCCTACATAATGTCTGTGCACGATGACACCGCCTCCGGTCTACGCTGCTGCACTGTCCGGCTCGACTTCACTTCAGTACCGGTCCCGCAAGAGCAACGTTGCCGTCGGCGCGACGAATCGTCACTCGTGCCGACACGCCTTCTGGTTGCGACCAGCACTCACGAGGACGCTAGGCTGTAGGCAGTTGCGCAGGTTCCAGGCATCTCCATCGCCAGACCTCACGACCGCATTCCTGGCCAGCGACGCTGACGATGTGCAGCAGACAGCCAGCCGCGGGTTACATCACTCCCGCTGTGACATGCCAAAACGCTCGAAAGAACAATGCAGTAGGCCAAAGGGAAGGGAGCTTCGGGCTCCTCGCCCACACGGTACATTGGTCAGTACTGTTAGCTAATACATGACGGCAGAGACGCCCAGCTAAAATACAACAAAAATCACCTTTCCTAACTCGTGCATCGCAAGATAAAAAAGTGAGAGAAGCAAAGTGCAACACCTCAAAGCCACGACCCACCCAGTTGTGCCACGTGCGACAGGTGGCTGCGCAGAGCCTTAGGCCTAATGAGTCGCTTGACCACAACCGGCATCCAGCCAGCACCCAACCTAGGTGCAGAAGAGGCAGCCGCAAGGAGACATCCACTCTGTAAGTTGGCCCTATCGCTCGCCGCACACAGCAGCTTACCGAGCGATCAGCGTCCACCGTCCCAGACGGTATCGCGACGCCCCGACGTCGAGCTGCAAATACCAGACAGCAACCAGGCACAGCTCCCTGAGCCCAAAAGAAATAGAAGGAATTTACAGAAAATCAGACCAGCCACGAGGCTTCCGTACTCACTCGCTTCGGGCCTGGCCTACAAATCACGTGCTCTAGGCCTTGCTCACACCAGGATGCAGACCGCATGGCTCTCGTCCAAATTCAACAACGGTTTTGAAAACTAACACAAACGAGGAAAAAAACCACTTGTGAGCAGAAAAAAATGAAAACTCTACCTGCGGACAAGTTCAAACATGTCACGAAACCAATCTCCTCGCTTCTCAACAAAGCACACCGCCGACGCTAGCAATGAGAAGTCCCCCCTAGGCCTACTCCACCCCGGCTCCAACAAAAGCTTGTACCGAACCGCATAACTATCGTCCGATACTCCAAGAGCCCCACGTTGGGCAGCCAGTGTGGGGTCTCAAAGTGGCGAGAGCACCGCTACGCTCTTAGAGTGAATGGACACAGTAGACGTGGTCGGATCAAACCAAACAATACACACACTTATTTAACTACTTTTTGATTGATGATATCGTCAGCCGAACTATTATAACATCAATCGTGAACAACACGCTAAGACATCCATACACAATAATAAGCAACACTCAACAGCATGAAAACAAAGTGGCGACACTAACGCCCGTCTCACCATGTGGACGGTGGGCCCACGTGGTGACGGCACCGGTACAATCCACGCCAGACCCACCACTGGAGGCAACCGTCCACACTACTGCCCCACGCCAAAAGAGACCAGTTTACTTCTTGTGCGCCACCACCAAGGTGTGCCGCGAAGCGTGCCGCCGTCGCTAACATTTTCTAACCATGATGATGATAGCGGTCATCAACGCTCGCGAGCACAACACTACCTATCGTGCAATAGTTGTCACCTCCGAAAGCGGCTTCTGTGCAAGACACGTGCGCCACGAGACGCAAACAAGCTTACAGGGGGTGTCAGCACCCCCACCTGACGTACGGCGTCGATAGGGAAGTGCAAGAGCATCCACACATCTGGTGCCATTTACTCTGCGATGCCGGCGCATATGCTGAGATTGTATCCTAGAGTTCCGCGATGTATTGGCAAGTTATGTATAGCGTGCTTTTCTAATCTTCATGACAGCGGACAGTGAGCTTCGACGACAAAGCTAGGTCCTAAGGTCCTTAATGTGTACGTTGAAGCCGCAGACTAGTACAAAGGGTTTGTGCCTCTTGGCATTTTATATTGTTCTGTCACAATTGTGATTGATATTAGTCTATTAAACTTTTTTTTTCTCTTGTATCCATGAATCTCTGCCTGACGGTCGCAGATGCCAACAAAGCTAGCTACCTAAGGAGATGAGGGTGGCGATTTGGGCTTGTTGGCATGGTAGCAGGGCAATACATGTTAGGGTAGACAAAGGAAATGGACAAAAGAAGGCACACATACAAGAGAAGGACAAGGGAAAGCACAGACAAATGACATGGACAAGAGAACACATCGCTGTGTTGTTTTGAATGTGCGTTCTCTTGTCCATGTCCTTTGCCTGTGCTACCACATATTATCATGCTACCTAAGGAGCTTTGCCCCCAAAAGGGAGTTACTTCTGTGGTGTTGATGCACTTATTTCGCACTGCACCAAGCTGAGAGCACGGCTAGGAGAAAGGCCACAGGGTAGTTAAATGAAGTTCAGAGCTTTCCCTTTGTTGCAAATTTTTGGGCTTGAGGTTATTTGGGGGACATTTAAGGTAGCTTGTATTGTAGGCTTACCCTGGAAAATAACACTATTATGCTTTTACAAATGCTTCTTTAATAAAGCAGCACTGAAAAACTGCTCTAAATCATCAGTTTAGAGTAATAGCTATTCATTCAAAATTATTTATTTGGTAATTTTGAGGCAAATGTTTGATTGGGTGAGAAATTTAGGACAAACAAACTAATTTTTTCAACTTTATGACATTACCTCAGTGCTGTCTGCCGAGTTTTCCTGCATGAAAAATATTGATTCAACATATGTTATGACAAAGGGACATGTCTTTATGATGGCAGTAATGATGGCAGTATAATTGCAACAACTGATATTTTTGCTTGCAGTTTTGTCGCTACAGCTGAGTAACTTTTTTCAACCTTGCCAAGCTTTGGTTGTTAGCTTGTTCCAAATACGATGCAGTTAATATTTAACCGAGCCTTCACAGATGCCATCAGAGTCTATGATGTCACGCCAAACTTGTGAATTTATCTCCGTTGTTTCCTAGCCAGTGTCATCGTTCAATTGTGTCTTGGACTGTATGGCATTAATGAGCCTTTTTGAAAACAGTGCACCTTTCTGTTTCCGTGAGGTATGAGAGCTATTGGAAGATGAACATATTAATGTTCTGGCTGTGTGAAACTAATGGCCAGAAATTGCATTTATCACTTTTCATGTAGTTTTTAAAGGGCCCTTAAAGCACCTACTATTTCTAGCATTTCAAGTAAAAAGCCCATAGTATTCAGAGTGCCTTCATGATCAGCAGTGCCAAACGGAAGGCATGCTATACTACGCGTGCGTGTCACAGGATGAAAAAACCATTCTGGGCTCCTCTCTGTGCCTTTTGGTATCGCTAGAGTTGTTTTGGGTCACCAGTAAAATCTGGTCATCTTAGCAGCGAAACGAACCTGTTTGTCTGCCTGTATATATGCGTGCGCCCAGTTTATTTCATCACACTGCAAGGAGTTTGCTTATATTAGCGCGGTACATAAAACAAGAAAAGACGACACAGACGTAAAGAAAGGTAGTGATGTCCTTTTCATTTTTAGAGGCCTACCTTTCTTTACGTCTGTGTCGTCTTTCCTTGTAATATGTACTGCACTAATTCAAGCTAAACAAGCTAAGTCATGGATGACCAACTCGCCTGAGCTACAGTGCTTCTGAACAATGCAAGGAGGAACACTCAACCAGGAGAAGAGATGAGACGACGAATGGAGCATAGCGAAGGAATGCGCGAAATGAGCAAAGGCCACATTTTTATCAAGTGCAGTAAATATGAGTGGGTTATGGTGCAATGTGTATAGTCACATTGCACCATAACCCACTCATCTGTGCACCAGTGAATCAAAGGCACAAGTTAACGGCTACACAATAGCCTGGCATTGACTAATCCATGCCAACCCAAGAAAGAAAGATCTCATTTATTCATTTTCGTTTTCTTTTGGCTTCTGCAGGTCCATTATGTGATGCTGGCATAGAATCGGTGTCCTCAGACGTTAGCTTGAAGATCAAGAAAAAGAAGATAAAAAAGGAAAAGATGGATCATTGAAAGTTTTAGCTTAGACAGTGTAAGTATAGTAGTATATAAATTGTAATGATTCGTCATGGCAAGTGGTCAGAGACTTTTAAAAAGAAATAGCCTCTAGAGCCCAGGACTTTGTATGTTCTAGCTTAATTTATGTTGTGCATTTTTACTTCAAATGCTCCTTCAGCAAAAACCGCTGCACCACAAGCTTGTACTATGAAAGACTCCAGGCGTGACTGATGGCTTTATTTGTTGATTTGCAATGAACATGTGTACCAGTGTTGTCATTGAGCTGCGATATACATAAGTATTGCTTGTGGACGTCGTGGCAGACTGCATGGGCGTAATGCCTGGACTTGTCTTCTCCACTTCACTTAGCAGTAGCCTGTTCTTGGTATACTGTCAATGACATTATCTAAGCTATCCTTCATCGACTCGATGATCCTTTTTTCAGGCAACGTTTCTATCCCTTCACTACATGTCACAATAAAGTGAACAATGTAGCTCGTTCACAGATTGAAATGAACCATTGAAACATATAGTACCTAGTAATGCAGTAGTGAGTAATGCAGTAGATAACTGTATTATCTCACAATGAATGTTTCTGCTAAAGGTAATGCCAGGTCTAATGGAAGCATTGAAGTTTAAATTACACCAATATGACATGAACTGAAGACAGTGGAAGCATAGTTATGTGCATAACTTGAAATTGTCACCTTTCAATCCTTGAGGGTGTTTGTCTGCAAACTTATCATCTTCACTAGCAGTTCAAAAGACATAGTGCAGTTCTTGAGAGATAATGAGCACTCGCTCAACAATGGCTTCTCAATAGATGTGGAAGATCTTTTTTATTCAATTCCACATGATGAACTCTTCTTTGCGGTGAGATCCTGCATAGAAGAAAGTGGCGCCATACCCTTTCAAAATGCGGCTGGTGTAACGATAGACGACTTTTTAACTCTGTTAGAAGCCTACCTACGTAGCACTTTTATATCTTTCGACAAGCAGCTTTTTCTGCAGAAACGCGGCATTTGCATTGGATCCTGTATTGCTCCGTTGCTGTGCAACATATTTTTATCTAGTATTGACCGGTCGCTCGATGAAGCTTTTAATCTGCATAGCGCCTTGAACGTTGCCAAAGTTTTTAGGTATATGGATGACTTTTTAATTCTTTTTAACAGACAAGGCTCCTTGACGCGCTGCGATGACATTTTAAATATTTTTAGGCTTCACGGAAAAGGACTCGTTTTTACACAAGAACTGCCGCAAAGTAACACCCTGCAATTTTTAGATCTCCGCTTAACTTTCCATGATGGGCAAACGTGTTGGCAATATTTTCCTCGCGCCAAGAAAGGTGTAATGCCGTATGACTCTTGCCAATCGAAAATAGTTAAGCGTGGTATAGCTACGCTCTGCCTGGGATCTACTCTCGAGAAATCGTGCACGCACATGACGCAGGCATCATTCGGAAACCAGATCCAGCGTCTTTTAGCTGCGAATTTCCCTGACTCGCTATTGACAGCTGTCTCCGAAGCGCTTTTGCGGAAAGCTAAGGGTGATGGTACTAGAGCTGCCACGGGGGAACAAAGAACCGAAACCGTAAGACCTGCAGTGATTCCTTATGTTCATAAGGTCTCCCACAACCTGAAAAAGGTAGCAGGCCGGTATGGGGTACCTGTCGCCTTCTCTGCGCCCATAAAGCTGGCTCAGCTGTGCCCGAGAACTGCTCGGGAGGTGGAGGCGAGCCGTCAAGGGTGCGGCAAAAAACACGCCACGATGTACGGGAGATGTGCAAAAGGCGTTGTTTATGAGATTCCCTTTTCGTGTGGCAACTCGTACATCGGGATTACCGGGCGCTGCATCAATGAACGAGTTAGGGAGCACGAATTAAATTTAATGAACGATGGCTTGGCGCATTTGCCTATGCACTGTAAAGCCTGTGGGTGTGTACCACGTTTTAATGAGTTTAAGATTCTGGGTAGAAGCAGGTACAAAACTGCGCGTGAGCTGATGGAAGCCTATTACATTAAAAAGAAAGGTGAAAGGTGTATCAGCGAACCGTCGGTGACGTTGTATGCTTCGGAGACAAGATTGTTTGATTGTTGGATAGCGTAAGGCTGTATGAAGACTGCGCATGTCTATATTTTTCGTACTTAAGTCTGGGTCTGCACCTAGTCTGCTTTAGTTGGAAGTGCCGCCTGTGCTTGTCGTTTGAGTGTTCCTTTTCTTGTGTGTGTCTCTTTTGCGGCCAAATCATGCCATTAAGTAAATACCAACTAGGCCAACAATCAGTATTATTACAACTTATCATCCTATCGTTAAATCCTTAGCAATCGTCTCCTCTTCATCAAGTCGAAATTACCGACAAAGTAAAAGAGGGCACTTTCTGGAACCCGGAATGGCACTGAAATTTTAGATGGCATAAGCAGTTTTCATGTTAAAGAAAAAGGTGGGTGGAGTGCATGTGGATATCTCAAAAAGTCCTCTCACTTTTATTCATGCCTGGATGCATTACTACAATGACTCACAAATACAAGGAACGCTATCAGACTGTGGGAAGCGTAGCATGATGCCATGGAAGCATCTCCTGTAATGAGCTAAGGGAACAGCCTTAAGCAACAAGATCTTGAAGGATTTACTTTTATCACTAAATACAGTGTCATAGGTATCATCTTGAAATACAGATCTCAAAGGTCATGCTTCTGCTTGCGGGACCCAGAAAATTGCCATGGGTATCTTGCCTTAAATTTAGAGTGTGATCATTATGTTGGGGAAGAGAAAGTGCGACGAGCTCAACTTTGCATACACTATCAAGTTACTCTATTCCGCCATAAAATTCGACTTAAACGTGGAAGTTGCAGCATAGCCGTCATGAGATGATGAATCACTCGTGCAGGAACTTTTATGCCTAAAAGTTGTCTCTATTGAGTAGGAGAAGCACTGCTGCACAATTTGTCAACTCATTGGTGTCATCTGTGATTACCACAAAAACAAGCGACTACTGGCGGTGCTTCCAAGCAGGCAAATGTGTATGTCACGCTGAGTTGTGGTCAACTCTGCCAATTTTAGAGAAGCAGCTTTTCCTGCTCCACGGAGCGACTCCCGCTCTCAATCAACTCCGACTCTCTCATTGAAGCTCTCGACTCCCGCCCTCACTCTGCCACGGAAACACTTACTTCAAAAGGAGTAAAAAGTCTTGCTCCAACTCCGCCACTGGAATTCAACACTAGTGTTTCACCAGGTGTCCTAAATTCTTGTCAAATAACCACTTTCTCTTGCCAAGTGCCTGGCTGTACTTCATAGAATAATGTATGACTTATAACAAACTATCTAGGAGGTCCCAAGCGCTCTGTAATAAAGGTGCTTCAGTTGTTAATTATTTTCCTTATTACCTTCTTGTTTTACTCCTACCATACATTCTAATGACTTGTTTAATTTGTACATTTCAGGTTGATTTTTTACACGCAAATGAACTGCTGCCCATGCCAAGCCAAAAAAAGGGATAATTGTGAAGTCGCATCATCGATGCCATTTTGAGCACTACGCAATGAATTGAAGCAATGTTTTAGGTTGCACCTTTCACAAAGCTGTTCAGGCTATGGGAAAACATCTCATTGTACATTTCATTGCTCATGTCGTAATGCATCACTCATTTTATTTTTCTGTTAACTCTTCTAAAGAGTCATCTTTGTTTTTATTTTACTTTATTCATTGTTACCATGCCTGCTTTTTATTACATCTTTTCTTTTCTTGCTTCAAGTTTATAATATACTTGCTTTAATTATTAGTGGGGTTACATCACTTGATGCATCTGTGTAAGATCCAAGCATGAAGATGCAGACACAATGCTGCATTGTAGATGCAGCATTCATTTTGTTCATCAAGTTATGGTTATTTAGTCTCATTAGCTGCAGTAAATAAAGCATAAGGTCATTACAAAGTCATTGTTTTCTTCGTTCTTTGTAGTGGTGTGCTCAGAATTCATTAAACCTGTGTTCAAGTTTCCACAACCTTGCAGTGGCAACCTAAGATTCTCGTGGCAGATAAACCATTTTGATAGCCAAAAATAAGTTTTATAGACGCACCAGGAAATTGTACTCATTCATTTTCTTGACGTTTTTTGCAGAGAACTTCAGATGTCTATAGCTCTTGCAAAATACTGTAATCTTATGTTGTCACTGACTATGAAACAAAGTTGCATGCGACTGTTCTTTAAATGTAATGTAAGGAGGTCGAGTCTTGGTGAGTAGCTGCTTGTGTTTAGTGGCATGCTCGCCTATAAGGCCACTTGTAGTTGTCGTGCAATGAAGAAGTGAAAGCTGCTTTAATTGATGGAAGAAAATGAAAGTTGTTACGATCAGTATCAAGTATATTGCAGTGTTTCTCGAATTGTGACAAAGGAAGAAATTTGTGGTACCAGCATATGAGTGCTGTCATTTTTGAACATGTGGTTGAAGTCCCAAGCATTTTGCAACTTTTCCTTCTCTATAGCAGCTGACATGCAGACTAAATGCTGAAAAGCATTGTTTTTACTTTGTGAACCATCGTTCTCTTCAATCAAAAGTGCAAATGTAATATTGTCAAATATAATAGTGCCGGACCGGTGATTATTTACACAAAGGCTCATTGTAGCATCCTAATGGTATGCAAATACTCCTAAATTGGCAAGTTTTTGTCCTGTCATTATTTTATGACAACGAAGAATAGGTGTTATCACTCAAGTACTTTGTAATCTCTCATGGCATTATGTGTGAGTAGACGGTCTTTACATTTAAGGAATTTAAGTGCGATTCAAAGTACATCTGTTTTCATTTCCTGTCACAATTAACTTCTCTTGAGAATACAAGTGTCTGGTTTGGTCTTGGAAATGCAGGCAATGAGGATGCGGCGCTAAAGTCTGCCCAATTAACTGGCTTTTTTTGTATTGAACTGTTGGTCGCAAAATTTGTCATTTGGGTCAAAATTATAGTATAAGAATGCTGCATCGATAGTGCTTTGATCTCTGGACTTCATGAAACCTCTGTGTGTGAAGAACATACTATATTACAACTTGCTTGTCAAAAACAAAATTTCCAGCGAAAGTATGCCTGTTTTCATCGCATCCCCATAGGAAATGAGCTGCTCACTCATAGTTGCGTTGGCTGGTTTGTAAGTGTGCCTGCCCTTCTGTGATAGACAACCATAAGTGATTGACGTCTCCGCAATGCCCTCAAGCTGACGTAAGTGTTAATTGGCAGCAAAAGGCACGCTGATTGCAAAGCGTCCAAAAATACTGTCTTAGGTGTGCTACACCACACTTTGTCGAATTTTTCTGAAGGCCAGTTCTTATTTTTCTTTTTAATCAGTTATTGAATTTGGCTGTACTCGGCACGTGTCATGTGGTGTCAGAGTCTATAAAACAAAATCTTTGTGGTACTTTTTTTTTGCCAGAAAAGTTGCATTAAATGAGAGTTAATGTCGGCATAACTTTGTTAATTTGAGCTAATGAACCGTATGTGTATAGCTGCCGGAAAATGAAAATTTCTTTGTTAGGTCGGGGAATACGTAAAATTACATTTCGTTATATCGGGTTAAAGTTCATATACATGCTTATATACCAATGACTGATGTAGTACCAATCACTCGTATAAATATGTCCAGAGATACCTATTAGTTTATTGTGCTTTGGTTAAGCATGCCATAAGTGAGTTCTTCATGAGTGTGAAACAACATTACAAAAAACAGTGTAATGTCGGTGGCGCCCTCTTATTAACGGGAACAGTTTACAAGGTGTAGTCGCGGGCGACGGCTTGGTCGGCTCTCGGAGCATGCGCAGTCTGCGAAGACACGTTTCACGCGGTAGGATTGCTTGTTTATATTACAATTAAACTGAGGTACCAGCTGCCTGCTGAACCGCTTTCCCGTCGAAAATGGGTGAGCCACTTCAACGAACTATTTGCGGTTCACTGTGTAGTGCACCTAACCTGACCTCCGGCCAGATGTCGAAGCCGATGAAAGCGTCAGGTTCCGAGTGCGTTAGGTTCCGAGTGGGGATTCTCGGTCGAAAAGCTTTCATCTTATATGCAGTATAAAGCGACACTCTCTGATGTCTCATGACAGAAAGCAGGATGCCTCAATGCTGTACGTAGAACACCCCTCTGCGTGTGGATGGTCCTCACCATACGAGCGACATCGATTTGTGTCGCCGGGCCCATGGTGGTTTAGGAGTGCGGCCGATGGCTTGACACTTGCCGTATCGCGCCTTGCGCACTACGCTGCCGTCGCATAGAACGGCATAGTTAACATCTATTTGCGCATGTCGATTGCTAATGGTTACAATTTTTAGTCGTACAACAGGACTCTCGCATTCGGCGAGGTCAGAATGTGAAATGCCGGGTCTTTGAACTGGCATTTCGCAAGTGAATGGGAACTGCAGTTGGGGACAAACGTAGCGTGCTTGCAGCGCTCGTAGACCACAGTGTTTTGCCATACACTGGCTGTGTTAACAGGCCTCTTACGCGTGACCGATCGTCGGTTTCTATCGTCGAAGTCTCTCCACACTCTCAACGTTCTGTGAAACTCTGCCTCCAAGAGCATGCCCAGATCTCTGTAGTCTCAGTTTTACACTTGATCGTGGGCTACCGAAATGTCGCTGTTTAATCGCAAGTAATTCGGTCATTGAACCATAAATTCTTAACAGCGAGACCGTACAGCTTTCGTACGAGCGTTTGCGTGGAGCCTTTTGAGAACTACCCATTGCAACCGTGTTTGAAACGTAGCTTCAGCTACAAGTATGCCGCGTGACAACACGTGCGTACTACTCTGGCAGCCACAGACGTTTGTTGTTATGTTGGAACAGGTGGGCTTCTGAGCTACTTCAGAGGCTTGCTGGGCAGTCGGGAGATGCGGATCCTGATATTGGGCCTGGATGGGGCCGGAAAGACTACCATTCTGTACCGGTTGCAAGTCGGCGAGGTTGTTACAACCATTCCGAGTGAGTCCAGCTGTTCTCGTTCTTGGAGCAGATGCTTTGTGTCTCAGTGGGTTATCGTGTAATCGACGGCTCGAAGGCATTGTGTGCTTCGTAAAAGGCGGGTACTTGATCGTGTAACAGTCGATTTCGTGAATGGGAACCCGCTTGTATAACCGCAGCAGTGTTAGCCGCGCACACTTTTGCATTTATGCGCAGTTTTATAGTTAAAGCTTGTCATGTATGAGAGAGCCGCCTCCGTGGCGGTGTAGTGACTATTTTTCCTCATGGTCACTGGGTAGAGACAATGAAGTGGTCTTTAGTAAGTGCCCATAGTTGGACTGCAAATAGGAATTTCTCGAAAGAGCTTTTACGCGTTATTCCTCAGCTGTTTGCCAAAAATAAAATACTGATGAACACTGTCACAAGTGTAAAAAAAAAAAACACCTTTCCCTTCTTGTCTCACACGTGGGAGGATATAGTTAAGTCACGTTTATTACTAGGAGCCACTATTTCCTGGTGTCGCATTCGTGTGTGGCAGCTACAGATATTGCCAGAAGGGAATCAGTTATGGCTTCACGGTGTTATGAATGATCCACCTACTTGTTAATGTAGCCAGAACTTGTTGGTAACAGCAAGTGTTATTATTCATTATTAAGGTGCTGGGGTTGTAAGTGTCACCATTTTTTTTTTATGAAGTTCATGCTGTTCCAATCTTAAGTAAATGCTGTAAGGTCACCAATAATAAAATAATGCCTCAAATGTGGCTACATCAAGGAGAGAAAGGCCTGATGGTTGTATTGCACAACCCAGATAATAATTATTAAGCAGGCTTTTAAGTGTCCACAACCATGCCACTGAGCTGAAGAAGCAGTAGCAGTAAGAGAAATTATGAATTTGTTAACATATTGAAACATGTTGCAAGTACCGGATGTGTAAATTGATCAGCCCCAATTTCTCTCTAAGAAGTAATGGTAATCACTGTTATTCTTTGCTTATAGAGGTCGAAATTGGCTGCCATAGCCACTTTTACCAGCTGGGTTCATTAGCACATGTGTCTTGCATATCTGATCACATTCAGTTTATAACCTCTCTCCCACACTGCCCCCTCTGATGACACTTCTGGCTCATTGAATTTGGGATGGCCGCCACTGTAACTGAGTTAGTAGAGCATCGGATGCGTTACTCGAAGGTCACAGGTTCGGTCTCTGCCCGCAGCAAGTTATTTTTTCGTCCACTTTTCTTCCTTCACATTTACATATACTACTTGTAACATCCGTGTACCTTCATTGGCATCATTGTCTGTTAGTTATCATTAGCACTGTGTCTAACAAAGATAAACGTGCATTTGAATTTTCACTTTTATCCTGTTCTCCGATGTGTAGCATAGGGGCAGCACATCATCAGCCACCAGCATTTTGTTTTTTGTTCGTTGTTATAGTATACGCGTCGTGAAGAACAGTGAAGATTTCTAATATTTATTAACTTATTCCTTCTTTCTCCTTCAGCTATTGGGTTCAATGTTGAGCAAGTTACATACAAGAATCTCAAGTTCCAAGTTTGGGACTTGGGTGGCCAGACAAGCATCAGGCAAGTCCTATTCCACTTGGCATTGTTACTTCAATCAGCTGTAATCATGTTCACATGTAGAATGCTCAGGTTTGCATTCAGCAGTCATACCTGATGTCACCATGCTTCTCTTTTTCATTCCAGGCCATACTGGCGGTGTTACTTTTCCAACACCGATGCCATCATATACGTTGTTGACAGTGCGGACAGGGACCGTATTGGCATATCTAAAGAAGAGCTAGTTTCTATGCTCGAGGTAAGTACGCCTTTTGTCTCATTGTGCATTCAATAGCAATCTTTGCTTCATAGTTCAAAGTGATTACCGGTTCGGCCAACTGCGGCAAAGACTCATTGCTTGGGAAAGGCGTCCAAGAGTTGATGATGTCTGCCCGTCTTACGCATATATCATTTGCAGGTTCTTGTATATTCAGTAATGTTGCGAAAACCATCGCCCAAAGCCAACAGGTACTGCAGTTATGGAGAGTTGGGGGGAACTGACTCGTTCTTTAACAAAGTAGCTTGTAAGTTCGGGGGATCACGAAGCTGTGCGTATTCCTCGTAGTAAAGAGAAAGGAAGTTTGAGTAGAAGAAAAGACAGTGTGTTGGTAATTTTTCTGGAGGCAAGTTGCCTTTTCGTGCCAGAATTAGTGAGTGCTCCAAGCTTTAATGTCTGTCTGATGGTGACCTAAGTAAGTGTCTAGATATTCAGTTTCTTGGATTACTGTTGTGTCAAGGCACGACTAGTTATTTCATCTGATCTAATGAATAAACGGGAAGAAAGGGGCAATCAGCAAGCCTTGAATGTTCAAGCTTCAAAATGTCAATTTTCTTGAATGAAAAATGTGCACTGACAATAGTCTCAAAACAGGACGTGTAAACTGGAGCACTTTGTTGCACCTGACTTAATAAGTCTGCTGAGGCCCCACTCAAAGGACCAATGTCCGACAGCTGTTCACCTCAGCGACTAAAGAAATAGTTCTTCACATGCGATTTGCCATGTTCTACGAAGGCTGGGCCACCGCCCATTTGGCTCGTCACTTCAACATAGAGTGCGTGCCATTGGTGCAGGCTTCTGTGCATCCGCCTTTGAAGAGGAAATGTCGCGAACTTCCAAAGTTGTATTTGGCTATCACTAATTTTACTTAAGTGGCAACACCCCATTCTATATTTCTTCATCTTGTGTGGCAGGAAGAAGAGCTGAAGAAGGCGATCCTTGTCGTTCTCGCGAACAAGCAGGACTTGGACGAAGCTATGACAGTGTCCGAGATTCACACGGCACTCGGTCTAGATGCTCTGAAGAGCCGCACATTTCAAATATTCAAGACCTCTGCACTCAAAGGGAATGGACTAGACGAAGCCATGGAATGGTGAGGAGTTTTTCACTGTTGGTTTTCATATTGCTGCCATTATTTTAATTGCATTCATAGAAGCCGTGTAGTTTAAACGCTTTTGTTCATCTGTTGTAGCATAGCATATTTTTGTACCAACACTGGATAAAAATACAGAAGCATTATTCAACAAAAACTTTGTTCTTTGTCTTGCTTTCATGGCGCAGCAGACATGATTCACACCTTGGCACGAGGAGCCAGCAACAGAGGGAGCAGGATAGAATAGAAAAAGCGTCCTAGTGTTGCAGAGTATTGCCAAACTAATTTTATTTCGATTGGCAGTAGATATGTGCACGTGTGTGTGTGTGTGTGTGCACGCACCTTCATTTCTTTCTGTCTTTGCGTGCCCTATAAGAAAACTTACTGGAGATGAGCTACCAACAAGCTCGCATCTTTCGTGGGCAGTAGCACAGCCAGAAGAGTGGTTCAGAGAGTTCAACCCCCTCCTGCCTCCCCACCCCCAAGCATACGCAAACATACATAAAGTGGGGGACCCCCCCTCCCCCTGCAAAGAAAAAGATTTCTGGATGTACCTTTGTCTATGGCTATCGAACACTAAGAGTATTAAGCAAAATCAAAATTTTCATTGTGCTTTTGGTCTTGAAGCCTTTTATGTCTGCTTGTGTACTTTTACAGCAATGGCACAAGAATGTTACCTACGTGCCACTCCACCAAATAATGTCTGCTTTTTAGTTCTGAACAGTACGTCTCTTGGACTATGTATTTCATTCGAGGTCCTGTTCATTCGTCACAGTAGAATGTGCTTCATTAGAACAAGATTTCAAATGTGAATTGCCAATTTTGGTTCATACATGTAGCCAGTGACTGTGTATAGCACAGGACAAACAAAATGAAGGAGGCCTCATGTTATCCGTTACTTCTGTTTTGCATTATGTGCTGCTATTATGTTCAGCTATAAGTGGTACTGTATCACAATGGTTTTTTTAGAAAAGCTCTAAGTAGACTTTCCTGCTATTTACATGGCCCTTTTTATTCACCTTCTAGTACTGCTTGTTGGTGCATTAGTTTGGGCTTGTGCAGTAGTAATAAAAGACGTATTGCCAAAGCTATGACCACAGAAAGGACACAGAGGGGATGGGGGCTTGTCCTGTTATATGGCATTTCTGTGGTTGCGATTTCAGTGCTAAGCCAGTTATCTTTCATGTTACATTTATACTCAAGTCTGCTCACTCGCTTGCCAAATACTGTTTCTGAAGCATGTGACATAAGCATGAGAGTGAGCCTGCTGAACCGTCGATGTAGCAAAGCCATTTTTCTCCCCTACAGGTTATCAAATGCTCTGACCAACAACAAGTGACCGACGATCAAGCAAAAAACGAGGCTTCAGCCATGCCAGTTCACCGTCATTGTCATCTCAAAAAGTGCGCATTTGTCGAGAAATGCGAGAGAGAACAGTTCCCCAGGCTGCCGACAAAAATATGTGAGGAGCGCAGGAAAACTGGCTACGTGCAGCATGGCGTCAAGACTCGCGGCCACGCTTCCAAGCCACGTGTGGACTTTGGTGCACATCGGGAAGAGGGCCTTGGAGTGTGTCGCTTCGCCGCCATTCCCCATCTCTAGTCTGTGCCCAAAAAGCAAGGAGAGCCGCAGTTTGTGCTTTTGTCCCCTTGCAGCAGAAAGCTCCTCAGTAGCCCCAACATGTCGGAAACATTCCTGGCTGGCTGGTTGGTCGATTTATTTTGTATCTTCTGGTTAGGTGACTGTGTTATTGAAACTTCTTTTTCTTTGTGCGTGTGTCTCTGTTTTTTAAATTCAAGATAAAGCTAAGCATTTTCTTCTTGGGCTGCTGCCTGCTCATTCGTTTTAAGTAGCAGCTTGCTTGTAGTAAGACTCGCTCGTTGAATCGTATTGTCCCCTGTCTAAAGGAATCGACATAATAGTTTGTGAGACGGCAGAGTCAAAAAAACTTATGAAATGGTGAAGAGATTCAGATGCATTTTTTCTTTGCGAGTGGATTGGTCAGTTGACCATTCGCAGAGTGCCGCGTGCCTTTGAAAAGCTGTCTGAACTACTGTGCTTCACATTCTTTAAATTAAAGCTTGCAAAAGCGTGCTATCATTGTCTAATTTTGTGTAGACATGCCCGACTAGCGCTGTTGTCCATCAGCTGTGCCCATTCATGGTCGTTTTAAGACGATAAGGTAAAACCCTTCTCAGGAAAAAAAAACATCGTTTTCTTTTTAGTGCATTGAAGCCCTCAGCTGGAAGATTAAGTAGACGTATATGCACCAGTAGCTGCGGTTGCTTGGTGTTGAAAAGCTGTGCAATTGTACGAGCTTCGTTGTCTCCTGTCTAAAATATGTGCAAAAACAGATTACAACATTGATTTGTCGAATGCTTTAAAGGGCCCCTAAACTACCCAAGGGTCTGAAACTTAATCTTGGTGTTGCAGTTGTGCGCGAGTCTGCAAGGAACACGTAGCCATGAGAATTTTTTCGTAATGATGCCATAATTACGGAGTTATACACATTTGATAATACAAAAGACCCTAATTTGTTTCACTCTTTCCTGCGATATGCTCTTTTCGTCAGCTCGTCTCTCCTGGCAGAGTGCTCCTTCTTACCGTGCGAAGTCGAAGAGTGGCAAGTGCTGCCACGTTTGGCATTGTTGATTGTGACAACATTCTGAACTTGATGTTCACGTTTGCTTGAAATGTTGGAAAATTATCAGAGGTTGTTTTGTGGCCCTTTAACGTATTACTTGCTTCTTCCCTGTGACTTCATTGGTGATGCTGCTTCATAATAATGCTGTCTATGGCACATCACAAGACACATCTGTGCAGCTTTATATTTATTAGTGTACCATTTTCGTTGACTCTTTTCCGGTCAGCACTCTTATGTCTGATGTCTCGGATAACGTTTTAGATAATTTGCCTCTCTGCATCTTTGTACTTCTTGATTATTCTGTGCGTAATATTGCATTCACTGTTTAGGCGAGCACTCGTGTGTATGCTGATAACGTATGGAAAGGTTTACTAAAGTTAGGGATTGCATTCAAGTGTGGTACCATAAAACCAAACATCCATATGTTTCTTTAGATTTATTTGAGGTATAAAAAGCAGAATTGACATGGCATAGTGCCCTTTGCTTTTAGCTAACTAAAGGGCCTTGAAATGTCATATTCTCTGGGGCTGTTTTAAAGCAACTCTCAAAAATATTCTTTTTCCATTGTCTCAGAAAGACAGCCTTGTTCATCTGTCTAGCTTAAGACAAGCAATGTTAGACCATGAAATGTTCCCATTAATTTCCTGCCAATATGGACGGGAAGGTGTTAAGTTACAAGCTTAGTGAATATATTTTATTTTATTTTGGCACAGCTGTGGACAGACATTGGGTACACTATTTACCAGAAAGCAAATAATTTCTAATCTTTGACTGGTCTAGAGCCGTAAACAAATGAAAACTTCATAAAGTTCGCAATGTTTTCACACCTTAGGTTTCGTAGGAAAGATCACGTTGGCCGTTAAGTATGCGAGCTTTGTGCTATTGATGTGCTAACCGGAAGTAGTTAGTGAGACGGAGGATGACTAGTGTAGTGGAATGTGCGCGCATGAAGTGATTGGTTGATGCAGATAATCACACGAAAATGGGAACCTGCAAGCTATGTTAGTACGCATGTTTCTTTTTTCAAGCGCACACCCATGCAAAAGTCCCATCCAGAGTTTAATGCATATGTCATTTAAAGGCAGCCGGGAATGTGAATAAAACCTTTTTGTAAATGAATGTTTTATGTAATTGCCAGTTTTGCTTGTTGGTTGTTAAAATAGTTTTGTTCATATGAAGTTTTTGATGTGTCTGACATCTTGAACTCATATCATTACATTATATCAGAGTGGCATTACATTTTGTGTACACGCTATGTGTTAGCGTGTGATGTAGAGGTCGGTAACCTTTTGAAGCGTAGGGTCGAATTGCATGAAGCTGACACGTTGGGGGCTGGATGACCAAATGAGGGGTGGTGGGGGGGGGGGGGGGACCTTGTAGGCAAAGAGAAAAAATTCGAAGAATGGACAGTTTGCAAAAAAATTACTATGCATACGTGGGCAAGTTTGTATTGAACCAGATAGCATCGAGCACAGACTAGCTGGCAAAATGTTTGTTCCATTCACAATCAACACCTACCTTTCTTTTATTTCGTTGTTCCCGTTCTCTTGTTGCATGTGGGAAACGTACAGTTAAGTGTGACATTTCTGCAGTGTTCTTTGAAAAGCCTTGGTGGTGCTCCCGCCCTTTCATTAGAGTTTGGGTGTTCTTGGAGCTAGAAAAGCAGTCTGGGAATGAGAGTTCTGATAGCAAAACATTGCTGTAGGAGAGCTAACTTACAGATGTCTTTAGAGCCTACTGATGCAGTCGGGGGGGGGGGGGGGGGGGGGGGGGTCTGCCCATAGGACTAGAGCCATACAGTCTCGAAGAGATGTCAAGTAGAGTAGCTGGAGCTGATGACTGAAACATTTAATTGCAATTTTTAAATTGTTAAGGTAGCATTATCACATGACTGATGTTAACATTATGGAAGCTTTTGATAGAAGCTTGATGGGGGCTTCTGGGAACTTGTCTGGAGCATCTGATTGCTCGCGTTTCATGGCCCGATGTTCCCAGTATTCCCTGCAGAGAGAAATAATGGAGGCCAAGTCAGTCCAATGAAAACGGCTTCATCTCTGCCCCTAAAAGCGGGAAGGTGAAACACTGCTTCCTTCTCAACCCAGGAAAGAGGCACGCCCTGTTTGTCCCATGGTGAGAGAGAAAACACTGCACAATACTCAATGCACACAGCACAGCACAGCGCGGAGACATTGGGTCCTACGTACAGATCGACTCTGTAGTCCGTTAGAGTGATGAGTGTGTGGTGCCAGGCAGGCCACGGTTTGTGGGAAACGGCGGCATGAAGGCACCACAGAAAACAAGGGAAACGCACCCGAACACAGATATCACACGCTTGGCTTATTGTTCGGCACACTCTGACAAACAAAACCGTGCAGTAATGACCACCCTTTCTAAGCCGCTTAGACTGTAAAAAGCCCTTCTTAGACTGTCACTCGGTCGAGCACATTCAAAGGGTTTTACGAGGGGAGACGACTCTGCTACAAACTTCGAAGTACTGCTGTCGTGTTGTCGCTGCTTTTGGCGCATCTCTGGGAGCACTGACCAGGAACAAATCGGGATAGGCTCTGCCGCAATGTCTCACACGTCCAAGTGACGCCAAGCCAGGAAAGCGGATCATAACAGTATGCAAGGGGCCGCCCACCATTTTGCAGAGTCCATTGACAATAGTCTACAAAACTGACACAAGTCTTGGCCAAATGCTGGCCAAGTGTGAAGATGGGGGACAATGCCAACTGCAAGGCATCTTTCCTAGTTTCTGCTTTCAGATAGAATATGAAAGGGGGAGAGGGGGCATGGCTCTGCCCCGCGGGCAACATGGTTGCTGACCCCTTTGCTACATGGTTGGGATAGGGACTTCCTCAGTATTAGCTAAGATGCTTGTCTTGCTCCTTGACTGGTCTGCAAGGTAATGTGTTGGTTCTGCGGCCGCACATGTTCTATATCTGCCAATGGCAAAAAGGTGTTTCAGCTGAGAATTCATTCACTGCGGTCCAAAATAAATGCAAAGCATACTTTGAAATCTTACAAAGTGAGAACTATAAACAACAGTTCGGCATCTGCTGCCAATAGTGCTGTGTTCTCATTAAAAGACAATTTCATTCTGTTTGAATGAAATTATGAATTATTCTGTTTGAAGAATTTTGAATCTTGCCATTTGAAGTGCACACCACAGAGAAAAGAAAAAAAAAATGCTGCCAGCGATGTAGGCAGAAATTTTATAGCGAAAGCTGTTATGGAAATCACAAGTCTCACGTGCACCGTAGTATCTGCCGCCAGTGTCCGTAACCACTATCACGCAGAGCGATAAAAAGCTAAGTAAATAAAAAGCACCAAGGACACAATGGGATTCAAACCTGGGTCCCCTGCGTGCCAGCCCAGTATTCTACCACTGAGCTACGCAGATGCTTGGAGCGCGCTCAGTGGCAAACTGACCCTAGGTAGGCTTCATGTCGTGAAAGCGCATTACTGTGTGTAATGAAGCTTGTAGAACAGCAATGGCACAACCGTGCGTCACACAATGCGAATAGCGTTACGAGTGGGTCGTCGAATGGTACAACCCCATTAGAATCGCCCTAGGCCTAATTTTTCATTGTCATCAGCGGCAGCATTAAAACAAAAATGCACAAGATTTCTTGCAAGTGTGTAGCGGATACCGCGCTTCTCCTGAGAATGAGGAAAAATGGCATAGTGAATGCCTCCCTACTACACAAAAATTGTGATTTATGGCATATTGGGTACCCCGAAAATGTGTGTGTAGCAGTTACCCAAATATATAGTGTTTAAAAAATTAAGGAGTTTTAGAATAATGTTTGCCCCTCCTAGGAAACAATCTAGGAGGGTCAAACATTTTTCTAAGACTCCTATGGTGCCCGCAACGCCCGCAGCGCCTGCAAATGTTATTCTAAAACTCCCTATTATGGACCATCTCCCCGAAGGGAACCCTGATTGGATGGTAAGCAGCAGCGGTGCACACGGCGTTGTCCCGGTTGAAATGGGCGTCGACGCGGGTGCTGGAAGAACGATTTGAAGCGAAACTCGGTATAGCGTTTACTCGAGTAAATGTTTGTTTGAAACGGAAAGATACGGGAGGTGGGACGCGTTGAAGACGCTCGCGCTCGGCTTCCTTGGCTCACGTCTCGGCGGTGTAACCCGCGCGCTGTCTGTATTCTCAAACGCGATCAGTGTTCGATCTTTACTCGCAGCTCGTCGGCGCTGATGTCGCCATTCGCGAACGCAACCGACATCGCTAATGCTAACAGCCAGGAAAAGTACATGCACACTAGCGGAAAGCATGCCGCGACGGTGTCCCGCCCATCGGCGCGATCGCGCGGCAAGCAAAGGCGTGCTGTCCACGTCATGAGATTCTCGAGGCGCGCGCACCCTCCGGCTCGCGGCTTCTCGCCGACAGATAGAGAGAGGTGGCGCGGGTTTGTTGATGCTTACGTGAGTAGTGTTAGGGTGCCTAGTAGTGGGCTTGATCAACACCACCTAGATGGTGATCAACACCACCTAGGACGCACGGAAACATGATATTGTGCACCAGGAAGCAGACGGTAGCGACCGAAGCGATCTTCAAGAGTGTCAGTTTGAAATTTTCCCAGCAAGACATACTTGAACTTCAGTTCTTCTAAACAGTACCGCGACAGCTGTCCGTCCCAACACTGCGTCAAAATGTGACAGCTTTGTGATGAAGTTAGACTCGAGGAAGTGGAGTTCACAGACCTGCGCCAAGCATTACAGTGACTTAATTACTTTCATACGAAACGGGCTAATGGGAACTTTGACACGAGCCTGAGTATTTCTGTTCTATTTTACCGCACTGCCCTACCTGAAGCGCGACAAAACTACCATCACCACTCACGATATTCGCTCCGTTCAACAGTAACAGAGCCAGAACACCAGTAATGCGATAGAGCCGGTAAGACAAATTTCAGCAGTTTCTCACCTTGGAGTGTATGCTTGGTGTGAAATCCTTTCGTGGAAAATCCTTTCGTGGAACAGGCACTTTGGGACCACTGTCATAATTGCCGCGGCATTTGGGAACACAACAACGTCCCATGTGGCACTGATCGATGTGTAATCACATACTCACAAATGCAACACCAATAAAATAGGACACGTGGGAACGTACGAAGACTCAGAGCAGTGCGATGCAGCACCAAGCCTAACGGAGTCTAACTAGCGAAGCAGGTAGCGATGAAAGGCCAACCTGTCGTGGCTTGTCCGCCGCTCAGGATAAAAAAGTGCGCAAGGTCACCAACACCACTGCCTGAGCGACGCGTCCTCGGCCACTGGACAGTCGGACAACTAGCGTGACGTATGCCGTCTGGAGAGAGGGGTATGAACGGGCCTTGTGAATAGTCTAGGTGGTGTTGGCTTGATTGTTGCGAGCGGCGGAGACGGTGAAGCGAGGGAGTACTGACACGCAGTGTGCGCGTGGCAGGCGAGGGAGAGGGACGTGACCGCACACTGCTAGGAGGGCGTGAGCTACTTGGCACCGCTCGAACCCTGCGGCGAGGGGAGTGGTTCGGACGGAGGGACAGCGTTATACAGGCTAGTCAAGGAGCTGTTTCGCATTATAAAAAAACCTCGGAAAGGCCGCTCTTCCAGCTTTTGCTGTGACTGTGCTGTGCATTCCGCGCAGGCCTGGTGGCTTTTTTGTAGTGGGGGAGGGTGCGCACCCACTTCCTTGATCTCAAGTGGAAGCCGGGCAGGCAAAGGTAATTGAGTGTCTTGTGTAAAAAAAATAGCAACCTGGTTGATCCCTCCGTCACAGGAACCGGTAAAGTAAAATGGGTCTTTACAGAAGTAAATAGTTAAATGTACATTGATATGGGAGAGCCTGCACAATGTCTACTGGTGTTTGGCAGCTACAACACCACTTAATGTGGATGCATTCATGTTCACGCTCAGTCGTAATCTACGTCCTGACGACTAATGTCCATCATTACTGATTTAACAAACCCTTCTGGTCATAAATGCCTGTTGTAGCTATAGTACTTAACGGTGAGAGTGAAACCAGAGAAAGCGATCTGACAGCCTGAAGAGCGTGCCTGAGTGGACGCAGACGCTAAGGTCGCCTACTAGCAGCATGTTGGAGTTATTGAACAGCACTGTCCGACCATAGAAAAACGCACCGCGCTTCGTGTCTTCTCTTTGGCCGGTCACGATTAT